GTAATCTGATGATGTAGGATTTCTATTTCTTCGTCTACCACAAAATCCCACCATTTCCGAATATGATACCCTTTGTTCTACACAAAAATACCCAAGAATTATCATAAATATTCTTCTGTTTTTTTCCAGAAACCTGATCTAGTAATTATTATGTAATCTACTAAACTCACATCACGATGACGACATGTGAAGTATCTCCTCCCAGGATCGATTTTGGTGTAGGATGTCTCTATGAAAACGACTCCACCGCAGTAACACTTTTTAGGCATTCCATATTCACCATATGCTATGAGGCATGGATCCAGCTCAGCTGACAATTCAGAACTGGTCACCGGACTGAATCTTCCCATTTCTTCGAATTTCTGAAATTAAAATTGAAACTTAACTGAAATTGAACTTGGGGAGCAAATCGGAAAATGACCTAGATCTACACGAATCAAAAGAATATCTTTACCTGTTAAATGAAATTGGATATGTCGAAGTCGAAAAAGAAAGAGAAAAAAACAAATCAGAAAACTGAACTCTCTCTCTCTCTCTCGAAGTCGAAGTCGAAGAAGAAACAAAAAAAAGTAACTAGGGTTTTCAAAAATATAAATTGGGAAAGTGGACCGAGCCTGATTTTATTTTTTTAAAATTTTTTCCCACTGGCGCAAAAATGAAAATTGATTAAATTTTCTCAAAAATATTGAACTTAGTTGTCCCCAAGGAAGCCGTTGAACCCAATTCTCAATAGTTGTACTTTTACAATTTTATTGTATTTCTAGTTGAACCTTCCTCTAAACTATTATATTGTAGTTGTATAAATGACTTTGGACCATTAAACATCATTTATAACGTTTTCATACTGCAATATATAAAATATTTAATATTTTGAGTTTTTCAGTCCCAAAAATCTTAAATTTGTTGATGTCTTCCTTATATTGTAAGGGGTGGTTGATGTGAAAACATGATTTTGTATAAAAATAAAAAAATTAATGTTTACCATATAAGTAATTATTTCCTTATTGAAAATGGGTTAATAGGTCTTAATTGGTATATTCACATCACTTGAAGCTTTAATAATTGTTTATTTCACTTCCAAAGTTGATATTAGTTGTATCCAGTTGCACCCAGTTGCACAAACACGTCAACGTTAACAGTTGTACCTAGTTGAACTTGGTACCATATAGCTGTTTATACATGAACCCAGTTGAACTTGGTACCATGTAGCTGTTTATACGTGAACCAAGTTGAACTTGGTAGTGCGAATGGCAACACGTAAACGTTAATAGTTGTACCCAGTTGAACCTGGAAGTGCGAATTTGACAAAATGAACTTCATAATTGTTTATACTTGTACTTAGTTAAACCTGGTCATATAAATTCACCAAACTCAAACACATAAAGATTCATAGTTGTACATAGTCTAACATGGTTGTAAAAAACCAAAAATTACAAAACACACACATAAATCAAACTGAGCTGCCACTTTGGCTGCTCTGAAAATAGAAAGTGAAACCTCTGCCAGACACAAACCTGTTACTCGTCTTCCTGCGACGTTCCCTAGTGGATGGAAAGCGGTTTTCTTGATTTCTTCCTGGCGATTTGGTGTAATCAGGCGGTAAAGCAAACTTATTTAGTATTTCCTCTGGAATACTCCAACAAGACTCATTCGGCACTGGATAAATCATCCTGTAGTATGCCAATGCCCACTTAACAATCAAGTAATATCTAGAGCATAAGTCGCATAAACTAATATCCGCTGTTCCCTTCCCTTCTTCATCAGTGCTGCGGCTGCGGCGATTGCATGAACACAAGGATACTTGTCTATATCCAACCCTCTGCAAGAGCAAGTTTTGCTCGACAAGTCCACCAGTAAGCCTTCTCATCGAGTCCAATAACGGTGCATTCAAGTTGGAAGCTGTTTAGCTCAGCCACAACTAAACGAGCAGCAATTGGATATAGTTCATGCAATTTGTTATCCACATAAGGCACCACTTTCTTTGACATCAGCATATCAGCAGCAGTCTTCCTATGCTTGTTAAACCAATGTGCCATTTTCTCAACAATCACATCAGTCATTGGTAAGAGAGAGTACTTCCTTACTTCCTTAAACACACTGCTGAGAGATTCACAAGAATTGCTGGTGTCTAAATTGTACTTGTCTCCTTTAAAGTAGCACCTTGCCCACTTATCCAACGGTACAGTCTCATGCAAATACACAGCAACTGCAGGAAACCTCTAGTTAAAATCAGCATACTCCATTTCGAACTAACTCACAGTATAAATATGAACGCATTGGATGAATTTTGCCGCCACTTGATCTTTGTTCACCTTATGCTGAACTTTATCTCTCACGCTTTGAGATAAATGCCATATATAATGTCCATGGCTGGGAGTGGGGATACACCTTCGCTACTGTATTTATGATGTTTTTATGTCTGTCACTCATAAAAACCAATTCAGGATCATCAAGTATAACGATTTCAGCTTCTCGAAAAACCACATCCAGCTGTCATGCTTCTCAGTATCAATTACACTAAAAGCAATGGGGTAATGGTGATGATTTGGATCTTGAGCTGTGGCAAAGACAAGCTGTCGACCATATACAATCTTAAGAAATGTTGCATCCACAACAATCACTTTCCTCATTGCTTGAAACCCTTCAATGTTAGCGCCCAAAGCAATGAATAGGTACTTGAACTTTTTCTCTGCATCCAATTCCACACTTGTTACGGTTCCATGATTTACCTTATCTAGCATATACAAATAAGAGTATAACATCCTATAACCTTCTTCAGGAGTGCCCCGCACATCACTAACAGCTAGTTTTTTTCCTCTTAAGGCGGTAGAGTAGGACAAACTAACACCAGCTCTACTCTGAACCAGATTCACGATATTTTTGGGAAATGGGGTGTCAAATTGACCCGGATAGTCTTGCTGCAAAACATATGCTACTAGTCGTGGGGTGCCTCTCCTTCTGCTAGTGCTTGTACTCCCAACGGTCCGAGAGCATGTATGCATCTTTCTGTATACTCTAACACTGAAATAATCCGATTTCTTAAACCTTGCAGCTTGTAAATACCATTTATAGCCTTGATTCTTCTGACAACATTTTAGAATAAGTCGCCTTATATCTGACTTATAAGTATGGACCCCAAAACAATTCTTATGTGCAGCTCTGTCAACCAAATCTTGCACTGCCTCCTTAGAACAAAATTCTTGACCAATTTCAAGACCTGCACCATCTTCCCATTCTTCAACACACTGACTAACTTCTGCAGAACCTGGAAGCTCAACATATTCATGCATACCATCCAAACCGTTCTCTATATACCCATCAGTAAATTCATTACCATCGTTCTCGGTCACCTCCTCAATAATCGGCTCCCTATGTTCTTCTCTTTCCTAGACTGCTCTATAAATAGTAACCGCATTACATGCATCATCATAAGCTCTACCATTTGCAACCGGCTCCTCATAATTCACACCAAATGAACTACCTACTTTAGAAGCTTGCTCACTCCTACCCGCTTTAGAAACTGAATTTGTTGTTAAACCTTTGACTACCTCCACATGCAAAACAGACCTTAGCCCCTCGTTATCCACTGTTGTTAGATAAGCATATATGTCATCATCAACGAAAATCTTTGTCTCGTTGATCAGTTTATTTACCAACGGAATGTAACTCAATTTCAGGTTTGCATTAGCTCTATCTATCCCAATCTTACTGCATATCTTATCTACTAACACCGAGTAAGTTATCTCCTCCACAGATAAGTTCCTAAATGGTATATCATAGGTGGAATTACTTGTAAACCATTTCAACTACCCTCCGTCACGTGAATAACTCCCTCCATAGTCAAAATATATGTTTGTGTGGTTAATGCTCATGCTCCCCTGAAAATATAATGAAAATAGTCGATCAGTTGAACTCAATTGAACACAAAGTACCACAGTTATACCAGTTGAACTCAATTGAACTAAATTGAACTCAGTTGTACCAGTTGAACTACACCTCTCATTTGTACTACTTGTACCAGTTGAACCCAATTGAACTCAGTTGTACCAGTTGAACTATACCTCATATTTGTACCAGTTATACTAGTTGAACTCAATTGAACTAAAGTGAACTCAGTTGTACCAGTTGAACTACACCTCTTATTTGTATTAGTTGAACTCAACTGAACTAAATTTGAACTCAGTTGTACCAGTTGAACTATACCTCTCATTTGTACCACTTGTACCAGTTGAACCCAATTGAACTAAATTGAACTCAGTTGTACCAATTGAACTATACCTCTCCTTTGTACCAGTTGTACAGTTGAATTTGACCTCTCATTTGTACCATTGGTACTAGTTGAACTCAATTGAACTAAATTGAACTCAGTTGTACTAGTTGAATTATAGCTCTTATTGTACCAGTTGAACTTAAGTTTTCCGTTGTTCCAGTTCGCTCTCAATTGTACCAGTTGTACCATTTTTCCTATCAAAAACTCCAGGAATTTCGAGCTCGAGTTTCGTTTTATCGTTCTGCATATGAATCTGATTAACATTACCACGTTCTTCTCACAAATTACCGAACTTATGGCTTAATCTATCCAGAATACATTGTTACCAACCCAGATCCCTAATTTTTCAAATCTAAAGCCCTAATTTTACAAAATATATCTCTAATTGAAAAAGAAGAACTCACCTTCAAAATATGAGATCTTCAACAATGGTAGAAAGAGGACTGGAATTCTGGGTCATACAAAGTGGAGAAAGAGTCGATCTAGGTCGGACGAAAAGGATGACGGGAGAAGAAGCTCACGGGAGGAGCTTGGAAACCAGAAGAGAGCTCGGGTGAGATGAGGGAGGAGGAGCTGCGGGGATGCTCGAGCTGCGGGAGGGATCGATGATTGAATTTTTTTCGTTTTTTTTTCAAATTTTAATTTTATTTACATTTACTTATTTTATTTTTACTAATTTATTTTACTCGTTTAATTTCAGTTACTTTGACTAAAGACTAATTTGTAATATCACATCTCATTTAAATGAAAAAGTGACATTAAATTATCTGATAACAGCATAGATCCAATTTTTTTGTGAAAATGGCATTTCAGCTCTTCCCTCCTTTAAAGCCTTTACAATAAATCTAAAGTCATAATGTAAAATTTACAATAACCTTTACATCACTCTTAGTTTATTTCACAATCCTGAACAACACATGGCAAGTCCAAGTGAAAGAATCAGATTTGAACAGTATTTAATAGGAAACATTTAGGTCCTTGGAATCATTAGAGTGTTGGGACAGAGACGAATCCTCATCGCTTGTGTCCAATACAAACATTGGTTGTGTTGGCTTAGGAAGATCAGTTGTTGAAGTCAGCATTGACACAACTTGTTTGATGTTTGGTCTATCAACAGCTTGATGTTGGACACAGAGCAAACCAATGTGAACACATCTCCCTGCTTCAACTGAATTAACTGAATCAGAATCAGCAAGATCTTCATCCAGTAGATTCACTCCCCCAGTTTCGCTCCAAGATTCCCATGCCTGTTAACAACAAATCGAAAACATGTAAGAGCCAAGAATCAAATCTAGACATTGCAGTAAGTGTTTTAAGATATGTTCTTACATATGAGAGAAGGTTTTTGCTATCTTTGCCATAGCTGAAGCTTGAAATCTCCTTGCCAGTGATGATTTCGAGCATCAGAACTCCGAAGCTGTAAATGTCGGATTTCTCAGAGAACTTCCCTGTCCAAGCGTACTCGGGAGACATGTATCCTCTGTTCAAATTTGATTTACTAGTTAGTCAACTTGAGTGTGTAAACATGAAAGACTTTTGATTGAGCGTGTTATAAGAATAGGACTGGTTACTTACAAAGTTCCTACGACACTGCCAGTGTTGTCTTGATGTTGATTTCCACTAAACATACGAGCCAATCCAAAATCCGATATCTTTGGGTTCATTTTCTCATCCAGGAGAATGTTGCTGACCTTAAGATCACGGTGTACAACTCTGAGGAATGAGTCGTGATGGAGATAGAGAAGTCCACGTGCTATTCCTTGAATGATATTGAATCTCTTAGGCCAATCAATCTCAAGCTTTTTCTTCAAATCTGTTACAACACACAGAGAGTATAGCAGAAACCGATCAGCTTCTACAATTTCAAATGTCACGTGAGGAGAAAAGCAAGAAGAGGCTTACCAAAGAGGAACGTATCAAGGCTTTTGTTCACCATATATTCATAGACCAATAGCTTCTCTTCTCCATCGATGCAGCATCCCAAAAGCCGAACCAAGTTTCTGTGTTGTAGTTTCGAGATGAGTTTGATCTCGTTCATAAACTCATCTTTACCCTGTACAGAGGTGCTTGAAAGACGCTTTACAGCTACTTCCTTACCATCGTCAAGCTTCCCCTGAAGAGCATCATAGTTGCAGACAGTCATATAAAGAACAAGAAATATCAGAATGGAGAAGAGCGAACAGAAGCAACTCATATCTCTTACCTTATAAACCGTACCGAACCCACCCTGGCCGAGTTTATTTGACACGCTGAAATTGTCTGTGGCGGTTTGTAGGGTATGAATCTCCAAGAAACTTATACCTGAGACATCTTGTGATTGCAAATCATTCTTCCAAGCGCCTTCTAAATTGTCTTTGGATACAATTTTTGAGCCTACAAGTTTGTATAGGTATCCATTTGTTAGCACATAATTTCTAGCATTCAGCTAAAGCTCAAATAGATGTCTGAAAGCTTAAACAGAAACAAGCGAAGCCCAAGTAAAACATGGAACAATAACAAGATAATACGTAGGAAGATCAAGAGAGTATGTTGAAGAGAAATCAGCTATTTGGATTCTCACCATTTCGTTTCACTCTGTATCTCCAACACCCATATGCGGCAAGCACCAAGATCAATGAAACAGAGAAGCTGAGAGTGCCAATAGTGATAACCTTGATTCGTTTGCTTCCACCTGAAAAAGTCACAAGAAAGCTTAAGTGTAAACCACGCTGCTACCCAAAAAACAACATTGTAAAGAAAGTTAAGAGATTATATGATGCTTACTCAATTCAGATTGTGCAAGGCGAAGGGAAAGAGTCTCTCCTCCAGAAGCAAACTTCACCGTGTCCAATAGCTCCCGGTTCCACAGCAAACATCCTATTCCTTTGATAAAGGAAAAGGCTGTGCAGGAACAGTTCCTGAGACAGCCTTGGTGGCATTGTTCTTCACTGCTAAAGCTTGCTAACTCGTAAGAATCTGGAGGCTTTATGTTGGAAACATGATAGAAGACGTCTCTATCTTTGCCCTGCGTTTCCGCAGAAGAGCTTTCTTGACAAGATAAGTCTGTGCGTCTCACACACCCACGACTCCAGTTCCCGCTTCTCCACTCCTCATCTGACTTTGGCTCGAACCCTTTTAGACATTGGCACATCGGAGTAGCGGACCTCACACACAGACCAAAAGGTCCACATGTACCATACATATCACATGAGCTTACCGGACCCTCAAAGTGCTTGATCCAACTGGTTCCATTATACCGTTGAATCCTCAATGATCCCTCTGATGTCAGCTTGATGGATGACAAATTGAAATTTCTCAGTACACAAAACGCAAAGACTCCTGTGCCGTTGGCTACATCTTGGACCATTCCCAATGGATTTATATATGATTCATCCATTTCTGGTATCCCAGTGAACCTTGTTCCCGCCCATGGTCCGCTTCTCCAGTAGGGTGACGAGCCTTTCCATATAATGCCTTGCGATGGCACTTGTGGTGTAATCTCAGCTACAAATTCCCCAGGTGACGGATCAGTCTCGCTTTTCCAGGAAGTCAACACACGTTTCTTGTTGTTAGGAGTGTCGTACATCAGAGATGTGAGTGGTAGCATAGTATCACCAAGATGCTCAAAGCTCTGCCACAAATACTTTCCAGTAACATTATCCATGAGGACAAGATTTCCGGTGTCTAAAAGCTCAGCACGACACTTGTTAGATGTAAGATCTCCTCCAGATGACCACACAGGATCCTGCTCGCCATCAAGCAAGATAAGACTTCCGTTGCTGCTGATTGTGAGATTCGCCGTGGGACTCGAGACTGGCTTTTCTCTGTTTGCCACCCAAACAACAACCCGAGGAGTGACTTTCTGGAACCAGATTCCAACATACTGATTCCGAGAATTGTTGGTACTGAAGAAGCCTAGCTCAAAAGATCCATCAGGAGAGCTCAGAGTTTGCCCTACGGACAAAGGACTTGATGTGGTTATAGCTGCATAGCCACAGCTTGAGAACATGGTTGCTATCAAGAGCAAACATGCAACTATACCCATCTTAAGATTTGAGGATCAAAAAAATAATTTTGGTGAAGCCAAAGAATTGAGAGAACAATCCTCTTTTAGTTTCATCTATAAACATAGAAACTAATGGGTGTTCTGCTACTTAAGACACCTAAAGTTGACCAGATATTAGATCACAATAATTGACCATTTCAAAGTTCTCTTCTTTACCCGCTGGTGCATTAATGTGTCACTATCAATCATCGATCCTAAGTTGCTTTCTATAATTAAACAGAATAAATAATACACCAATTGCATTAAGTCTAACTAGAAATCAACTTTCTCTCCTGAAATAAAAATATACTTTTCATTTTTCACACTCGTCACATTCCATGAAAGAGGTTAACGCAAAAAAAGAAACAGGGCCCATATGCAGAAGTTACCTGGATGCTACAAAGCTTTGCATTTCTGGAAATATTTCCTCCAAAATATCATTTTCTCACACAAACTGGAATGATAACAACGCATAGATCAATAAGCTTGTATAATATCGACAAGGTTTTAGTTTTCTTGCAACCAATTAAGAGAAATTTAATGTACCTAATTTGAGGATCTCTTGAGTAAGTTTGTAGGCACATATGAAGTCAAAATTCTCGGTCAGTCATTTCGTCGAACACAATCAGTGCTTTCCGTATTGAAGAAGCGGTCAAATGTTGTCGCCAATCAATGACACTATAGCTGAAGGGAATAAAGAAAAACAAAACAAATCTTCTAAAAGTAATTGTGCTTCACCACGCTGAGATCATTTGGGCGTAAGCGACTCGATCCAAAGTCGCGAGCTTTCACAATGAAACCACGTCAACACCACACGATTTCTGATGACACAAGAAAAAAATAGCAACTTTGGAGATAGTTTTTTTTTCAAGGCCGTGTACAACACTCTCGATTTGTCTCGTGTCTTTGAATTTTTGAGCCATAACAGGTTCTCTCTCTCCCTCTCTCTCTCTCTCTCTCTCTCACAGACACACAGAGTCAAAGACTATATAAAGCCGTACTTTTGAGGTAATCTCTCCGTCGTACTCTGTTTTGTTTTGTTCTGCTGTTCTATTGAAATCAAGATCAGTTTTTTTTTTACCTCATTTGTGTTTGCATTTACGTTTATATCTTTTTGTAAATGTATCCATAATTTTCATATAATTTTCTTTGCGTTAATTGTAAATACAAATTCCAAATGCAAAAAGTTTGAGTTTTAACTTCATAAAAGTATTTTTTGAAAATCTAAAAATGTTTTAGTATATTTTAAAATTTTGAACTCTTTTGTTCATTTATTCACAAGAGTCAAAACATTTTAAGCAAAGATTCAACAAATCCTCAGCATATTAACATCCAATATCTTTACAACATTTTACAACCGATTCAGTTTTGTAAACATAGTGAATCATTTGCAAAAGCAAATGCTTTTTATCGACCAACTAAAGCAGTTTGTGTTATATTATTCACAGAATACACACTCTTAGACTCTGAATCACTCTCTTGATTCAGCACTGCGAAAACAGGTTGTTTTGGTTTCGGAAGAGCCGTTGTTGTAGTAAGCATCGACATGACTTGTGCTATGTTAGGTCTATCCACAGCTTGCTGTTGAATACAGAGCAAACCAATCTGAACACATCTCTCTACTTCCATTTCAGAACCAGAACTGGATATATCTTGATCCAATAGATCAGCTCCACCACTTTCGCACCAACAATCCCATGTCTGAAAATTTGATGAAAACACAAGCATATAAGAAACATTTGATCCATAATCAAAGATTCAAGAGAGACAGAGAACGTTAAAATTGGCTTACATATTCGAGAAGACTTTTGCCTTCCTCTCCAACGGTGAAGCTTGAGATCCTCTTGCCCGTTATGATTTCTAATAGTAGAACTCCAAATGCATAGATGTCTGATTTCTCAGAGAACATTCCTGTCCATGCATATTCCGGAGACATGTATCCTCTGTTTCATTTTACCAAAAAAGATTCTTCAGGTTTGATGATCTAAGCAAAGACTTTGGATTGAGATTCTCTTATCTATACTATATAAAAGAGGTAGATGCATACAGAGTTCCAACAACCCTGCGAGTGTTGGCTTGATGTTGTGTTCCTTGAAACATCCGAGCCAATCCAAAATCTGATATCTTTGGGTTCATGTCTTCATCTAAAAGGATGTTGCTGACCTTCAAATCCCGGTGCACAACCCTGAGGCATGAGTCACGGTGAAGATAGAGAAGTCCACAAGCAATACCTTGAATGATTTCAAACCGCTTGGGCCAATCAAGCTCAAGCTTTTTCGTGGAATCTAGCCAAATCATAAACATATTAGTCAGTTATAACAAATAAACAAGAGTTTTAAATGATGAAAAGAATTGGAAAAAGATGCAGAGGTAGGTGCAATATATGACATACCAAAGATAAAGGTGTTGAGGCTTTTGTTCACCATAAACTCATAAATCAAAAGTTTTTCTTCTCCTTCAATGCAGCATCCCATAAGCCGAACCAAGTTTCTGTGTTGGAGTTTAGAGATGAGTATTATTTCATTCATGAACTCCTCTAGACCCTGTCCAGAGCTGCTCGAAAGGCGTTTTATAGCTATCTCCTTCCCATCTTGCAGCTTTCCCTGGAAGCAAAGTCGGTGATAACCGTCTAGTGAACAAGGATGAGCATGAAGAAGAAAAGAGCAGATAAAGCAGGTTATATCTTACCTTGTATACTGGACCGAATCCACCTTGACCAAGCTTATTTTCAATGCTGAAGTTATCGGTGATAGTTAATATGGTTTGCATATCAAAGAAATTTACATCCTGTGGTTTCAGTTCTTTCTTCCATGCATCTTGTGAAGTCTCTATGGATGTGGGAGTTGGTCTATGAACTGCAAACATCCAAGTGTCAGTACCAAGCTTATAGCATTCAAAGGCGATATAGAAACTAAGCATTTCAGAGTCTCACCCTTTTGTTTTGCTTTGTATCTCCAGAACCAATAAGAGGCTAAAACCAAGATTATGAAAACAAAAATGCTGACAGTGCTAGCTACGATTATCTTGGTACGATTGCTTCCAGCTGAGAGATGCAACACCAGAAAAGTAAACTGTTAACCATGCTGCAGTAAATAACAACATCACGAAGAACAACAACACTTATGCTCTGTTTCATTTCCTACCCAACTCAGAACTGGCAAGACGGAAGGAAAGAATCTCTCCACCAGCAGAAAACTGCATTACATCGACGAGCTCTCGATACCACACCAAGCATCCAATTTGTTCAATATAGGAAAACGCCATGCAAGAACAGTTTCCAAGACAACGCTGGTGGCACTCCTCTGCATTGATCAAGCTTAGATATTCGTAAAAATCTGGAGGCTTCACATTTGCAACAGTGTCGAAGGCGTCTGCATCATTGTCTTGTGTTGTTACAGAAGAGTTTACACGACAAGATAAGTCTGTTCTTCTCACACAACCACCGGTCCAGTTCCTTCTATTCCACTCCTCGTCTGATTTTGGTATAAAGCCTTTCAAGCATTCACACTTTGGAGGATTAGATCTCACACACAACCCATAAGGTCCGCATGCATTATAAACATCACATGAGCTTACTGGGGCCTCAAAGTCATTAACCCAACCAGAGCCATCATGCCAAAGAATCTTCAACGAGCCCTCTGATGTCAGCGTAGTGTACGAAAGGTTAGAGTTTCTTTGCAACGAATAAGTCAAAAAACCTGTTCCAGCTGCTGCATCTTGGGAAACGCCGAACCGGCTTACATGTGATTCATCCATTTCTGGTGTGCCAGTGAACCTTTCCCTCGCCCATGGACCGCCTCTCCAGTAAGGCCTAGAGCCTCTCATTATAAAGCCTTGCGGAGGCAACTGTGTGGTAAGCTCAGCTACGAATTCTCCAGGTGAAGGATCTGTGGGACTTCTCCAGGAAGATAAAACACGTTTCCTGTCATTTGGAATATCATACATCATAGACGATTGAGGGAGCAGAGTATCACCGAGATGCTCAAAACTCTGCCATAAGAGTCTTCCGGAAACTTCATCAACGAGGACGAAATTTCCATTGTCTAAAAGCTCACCTCGAAACTCGTTGGATGAGAACGTTTCTCCTATCGACCAAACAAAATCTTGTTCTCCCTCAAGCAAGATGAGGCTCCCATTGCTGCTGATGGTGAGATTCGCCGTGGGTTTTGTGACTGGCTTATCTCTGTTAGCCACCCAAACAACGACCTGAGGAGTGATGTTCTGGAACCAGACCCCAACATACTGATTCCGAGAATTGTTAGGACTGAAGAAACCGAACTCATAAGATCCACCAGGTGAGGTTAGAGTTTGTCCTACCGACAAAGGACTTGCTTTGGTTATAGCTGCGTAGCCATAACTTGAGAACCTGATCAGCAAAAAGAAGAAGGAAGCAAAGAAAACAATATCAATCTTTCCCATATGAAAAAGCTCTGCATAAAGTCAATACAAGAGCTCTTTTCAAGATTTCAGTTTATGAAAAAAGCTCTGCATAAAGTCAATCCAATAACAGAACAAACTTCCTTCCTGTACATCTTACAAAAGTATGAAACCTCTCGGATGTATCCATGGCGGCTCCTTAATTTTTTTATATATCGTGATTATAATAATAAGCCATCCAGACCGCAATTTTAAAAAGACAAACCATGGACCGCATTGACCACTAGAATCACATCTCTCCATTCACACCAACAAAACAAAAAAAATATTAATTTTTTCCATATTTTATTATTCCATGTTGCTTCAGCAGATAACTTTGAATATTCTCATCTCTGGGCCTTAACCATAAATTAAGTCAACAACTTTCAATCTAACCAGTCACCACATCACAAACAAAGCATTCACATCTCAGAACTTCTAGGAATATAACCGACAAAAACAAAACAGAGCACGAGAACGCTTTTGCAATATTTTACAAGTACGTTACTTCCGTTTGGCATGCTCAGGTATACAACAATAGCTTGTAATGATTTATCAGTTTTGAAAAAATTTCAAGTGATTTGAAAAATCTGAAATCGTAGGCAAGGCAATGGAATTTGGATGGTGAAGAGCCACAAAACGTTACCTCAAGACTCAAAAAAGTTCGGTAATAGCTGAAGTATGACTTTTGATGGGCGGCTTCAACAATTGGTCCCAAGACTTTGAAACTTGACATCTCGTTCACGCATTTCACCGAACACATTCAGTGCATGATCCAAAAGTTCTAATGTTGAACGCAAAGACAACGTCGAAGACCTTCACAGAAAGAGACGGCCCTTACCCAGAAAACTATGGCGGATCAATCCAACTCCGAGCATCTGGGCATCAACGATTGTAACCAAAGTCGCAGACTTTTAACTGCCGAGAAACGCAAGAGAAGATAACATCACTCAATAAAAAAGACAACTTTATCATTGTGATGCACACACACTGTTAATAACAATACTGTATTTACTTGCTTTGAGTATTTTGACCGAGTCAACGAAACTTTGTATATTAATAAGAGACCATAAAAAAGTGGGATCTCAAAATTTTAGGCTCATGAATCTACACACTGAAGTATATATATATACTAAGAGCTTATCGCCCCTGGATCACAGATTGTGTTAACTCATTGACAGAGATAAGATCTTTAGACATTGACACATCGTATAGAGGTTGCACGTTCAGAGTTTGCGCAGCAAATATTGGCTGCTTTGGTATTGGAAGATCTGTTGTTGAAGTTATCATAGACAGCACTTGAAGAGTGTTGGGTCTGTCTATAGCTTCGTGTTGAACACAGAGAAGACCAATCTGAACACATCTCGCAACTTCAGACGCGTTGCATGAATCACTAAGATCTCTGTCCAGAAGACTCGATCCCCCGGACTCGCACCAAGACTCCCAAGCCTGGATAGTAAGAACAAGAAATGTTTTGTAATGGCCACTAGATAATGTCTACACTTGAGAGTATCAAAACATTCACTTACATATGCAAGAAGGCCTTTGCTCCCATCGCCAAAGGTGAACCTTGAAACCTTCTCTCCGGTGATGATTTCAAACATTAGAACTCCGAAGCTATAGATATCGGACTTCTCAGAGAATAACCCTGCCCATGCATACTCAGGAGACATATATCCTCTGTTCAAATATCAGAAAAGTTTCCATCAAGTTAATATAGGATGATGAAAGTATGAATCCTTTGTTAAGCATGTCGTTGAAGATAGGTTCTTACAGAGTTCCTGCAACCCTTTGGGTATTGTCCTGATATTGTGTTCCCTGAAACATCCTAGCCAACCCAAAATCTGATATTTTCGGGTTCATCTTCTCGTCCAGAAGAATATTGCTAACCTTCAGATCTCGGTGAATGACCCTAAGGCGTGAGTCACGGTGGAGATAGAGAAGTCCACGCGCAATACCTTGAATGATTTCGAATCTCTTCGGCCAATCGATCTCAAGCTTTAGAGTTGAATCTAGACAATACCATAGAATAGATAAGTGACAGTAACACACTAACTATTACCATAACATGGAAGGAAAAGGAAAACGAAGAGGTAAATAGGATAAAGAACAGACCAAAGAGAAAGATGTTAAGGCTTTTGTTCACCATAAACTCATAAATCAATATCTTCTCTTCCCCTTCGATGCAGTACCCCAAAAGCCGAACCAAGTTTCTGTGTTGTAGTTTTGAGATTAATGATATTTCATTCAAGAACTCCCCTGTACCCTGATCAGAGCTACTAGAAAGGCGTTTAACGGCTATTTCCCTCCCACCAGGCAGCTTTCCCTGGAAGAATAGCCTCAGATGGATATGGAGAACAAGAAAAGAAGAAGCAAATAAACTAGAATGTGACATACCTTGTAAACTGGACCAAATCCACCTTGACCAAGTTTATTCGAGGAACTGAAGTTATCGGTGGCAGTTCGTATGGTATGCATCTCAAAGAAATTTACGCCTGAGATATCTTGTGGTTCAAAATCATTCTTCCATGCATCTTGTGAAGTATCGATGACAATGGGAGTCGGTTCTACACGAAACAAGTGTGCACGTATTAGTTTAGCATCCAAAGGCTTAACTTTCAATAGAAATGAGCAGATTAGCTTAGGAAGACATCAAGCTTTGACAGATTAGTGTAAACTTTATTAAGAGGAAAAAAGATAGGGACAAGTAAAAAGAGTGACAGAGAGAGATAAAGCTGCAAGTTTATCAGTGTCTCACCATTTTGTTTCCCTCTGCATCTCCAGGCCATATATGCGGCAAAGACCAATATCACGAAAACGGAAAGGCTTGCAGTAGTACCTACGATAATCTTGGTTCTGCTGCTTCCAGCTGAGATATTCACCAGAAAACAAAACTCTAAACCATGCTGCTACAGAACATTATAAATAAAAGTTGAAACTTCGAATGTAATAAGAAAACAGTAATCTCAACAAGAAATGTGTTTCATACTCACCCAATTCCGAACTTGCAACACGGATGGAGAGAGTCTCTCCATTAGACATAAACTGAACAGTGTCTACTAGCTCTCCATTCCATACTAAGCATCCAATCCCACTTATATAGGCAAACGCTGTGCAAGAACAGTTTCCTAGACAACCTTGGTAGCACATATCTGCATCGAGAAAGCTCGCAAATTGGTGCAGATCCGGAGTCTTTACACCGGTCATACGATAGAAGATGTCTGTGTCTCTGCCTTGTGTTCTCATAGAAGAATTCGCCTGGCAAGATAACTGTTTACGTCTCACACACCCACTTGTCCGATTCCCTTTTCTCCACTCCTCATCTGACTTTGGTACAAACCCTTTCAAGCATATGCACCTCGGGGTATCGGATCTCACACACAGACCAAAAGGCCCGCACGCACCGTATATGTCACATGAGCTTACTGGAGCCGTTAAGTGATGCATCCATTTTTTGCCGTCATCCCAATAAATCTCCATTTGCCCCTTTGGTGTTAGGGTGAGATACGATAGATTGTAGTTTCTTAACTGAGAATAAGAGAAAGATCCTGTCCCCGTTGCTAGATCCTGGACAACGCTGAATGGACTTACATATGATTCATCAAATTGTGGGAACCCAGAGAATCTTGTTGTTGCCCATGGACCAGTTCTCCAGTAAGGCGCTGAGCCTTTCCTTATAAGGCCTTGCAAGGGGACTTGTGGTGTGATCTCCAGTGAGAACCCACCAGGAGATGGATCGCTGTCACTTTTCCATGTAGTCAACACACGCTTCTTGCCATGAGGAGTATCATACATCAATGATGCTTGAGGCACCATAGTGTTACCAAGATTCTCGAAGCTTTGCCATACTGTTTCCCCTGAAACATCATTAACTACAACAAGATTTCCGGTATCTAAAAGCTCGGCATGACACTTGCTGGTTGTGGGAGTTTCTCCTGTTGACCAAATAACACCTTGTTTCCCATCAAGCAAGATCAGGCTCCCATTGCTGCTGATGGTGAGATTCGCCGCAGAGTTTTTGACTGGTGTGTCTCTGTTAGCCACCCAAATAACTACCCGAGGAACGATCTCCTTGAACCAGATCCCAACATACTGGTTCCGGGTATTGTTTGGACTGAAGAAGCCTAACTCAAAAAACCCACCAGGGGAACTCAGAGTTTGTCCTATTGACAAAGGACTTGATGAGTTTATATCTGCATAACCACAAGTTGGGAATATGATTAGTAAGAGACACCAAGCAAATAAACCTACGCCCATCTTTCTCATGTATCTTCCTAATTCTGTGAAAGAATTCTAAATGAGCAAAAACTTCATGTGTATATTGTTTTTGGTTCAGACTTGATGCTTTGAATAATATTATAAGCGCTAAAAAACAAAGCTTATTGACCTGTAAGTCAAAGAAAATTTAAAATCAACTAATAAAAAAAGCAGTCAACTAAAAAAATTAAAAAAAATAAAGAGAAGAATACAGAGCTGGAAATTGATTGTGCCGATCTTATTGTCCACAGAGGATAGCGTGTAGTACTCAAAAGTCAACTTTCTACATAGCAAACAAGTTTCTTTTGTTTTTCTCCTAGAAGGACAATACAGAGCTGGAAATTGCTTCATTTCGATAAAACAACAAGCAAGTTGCAAACTTTAAGATCCAAAAAAACTTAGAAGAAGCTCACCTTTAACATTTTACGGTTTTATAAACCATATCTCTCGTTCAGTCATTTCATCGAACACTTGCAGTGCGTAATCCATAGGTTCGAATAAATGACTGTTAAAACCATCGCCGGAACTAAAGTTCCGATCAAGACAGCATCGTGGCCGATTTATACAAAACCCACCATCTGGGCATAACTGGTTCTAGCCGAAATCGGCGACTTCAACGATAATCCAGAAGATCCAGCATTCAAAGTAACTGCGACGTCGCGGGACCTTCAGTACGGACAGAGAGCGACTATCAATGGTATTTGTAGTATGTGGAAAAAATATGGGCCTTGTAGCCAAAAGTAGCAGACTTTGAACAAGAATGCAAGAGAAAACGACACCACTTACAAATGCCTTAAAAATTTAACCTTTTTCATTGTGATTATATAATTCTCACATTAATTAGGGAATGTTTTGACCAAGTCAACGAAATAATAGACCTTTAAGAGATGTGTTTAAAACTTTTAAAACAGCAATTAAGTGAGAAGAAACTCCTTACCAAAAAAAAGTGAAAAGAAACTCAAGATCTTTGAACATGATTCGTGAGTCTTTCGACTATAATGTATATACTAAATGAAGAATAGATGGAGTTGCTTATCATCATCATATGTTGTAGTTTTGAGATTATGGGTATGCATCTATCATATAACGGTAAAATAACAAATACAAACCTCTTTTTATTATTAATCACAAAACACCAATACAAAAGGAAAGAAAATATTTACTGAGAAACCCCAAAAAAAAAAACATTACTTTGAAGTGAAGAAACAATATAGATACGTAGAGAGTTATCTATCAATTATTGAAAAAGTTGCTCACTTTTAATTTACAGGACAACAATCCACACACTTTCAATCCCACAAATTTGAATTATCACAACATCGTTTCCTTAACGCCCTTGGATCACAGATTGTGTCAATCCATTGACGGTGTTCACATCGTTAGACGTGGGTTCATCATCTCGAGTATGCAATGCAAATACGGGTTGTTTTGGTGATGGAAGATCTGATGTTGTGGTGAGCATAGACAGTAACTCAAGTGTGTTTGGTCTCTCTACAGGCTGGTGTTTAACACAGATCAGTCCAATCTGAACACATCTCCCAACTTGTAATGGGCAACACGAATCAGCAAGATCGTGGTCCAGAAAATCAATCCCTTTGGTCTCAAGCCAAGATTCCCATGCCTGTGGTTTCATTTCATATCTTAAGAGTGTCAGAGAGCAAGAAACGTTTTGAAACCTCCTCAAAAAGTCTTAAACTTACATATGCAATGAGTGTTTTTCCTTCTTCTCCATGGCTGAACCTTGAGATCTTCTGTCCACTGATGATTTCTAACAGCAGAACTCCGAAACTGTAGATGTCTGATTTCTCGGAGAACACACCGGTCCATGCATACTCAGGAGACATATATCCTCTGTGCAAACATCAAAATAGTACTTTAGGATATGACTATGATTATGAATCTTGTTAAGCACGTTTTCAAAAGAATAGTTCTTACAGAGTTCCTACAACTCTGCGAGTGTTGTCCTGAAAATGGGTTCCCTGAAACATCCGAGCTAATCCAAAATCTGATATCTTTGGGATCATTCTCTCGTCCAGAAGAATATTGCTGACCTTTAGGTCTCGGTGAATGACCCTTAGGCGTGAGTCACGGTGGAGGTAGAGAAGTCCACGTGCAATACCTTGAATGATATCAAATCTCTTTGGCCAATCAATCTCAAACTTCAGAGTTGAATCTAGCCAATAAGATAAAACATATTTAGTGACAGTAAGGAAAAAGGAGGAACGATGAGGTATATGGAATAAAGAACTGACCAAAGAGAAACACGTCGAGGCTTTTGTTCTCCAAGAACTCATAAACCAGTAGTTTCTCTTCTCCTTTGATGCAGCATCCCAAAAGCCTAACCAAGTTTCTATGTTGTAGTTTTGAGATTAGTGTTATCTCGTTCATGAACTCCTCTGTACCTTGCCCTGAGCTGCTAGAGAGGCGTTTAACAGCTATTTCTTTCCCGTCTACCAACTTTCCCTGAAAGCAAAGTTGCAAGATAGTTAGCCATCTAGAGAATATACAAGAATGTTACAGAACAGAAAAGAAAGAAGCAAACAGAAGATAGTATCTCATACCTTATAAACTGGACCAAATCCACCTTGACCGAGTTTATTTGAGGAGCTGAAGTTATTAGTTGCAGTTCGTATGGTATGCATATCAAAGAAATTTACGCCCGAGACATCTTGTGGTTCCAAGTCATTCTTCCTTGCATCTTCTGATGTGTACATAAAATTTGGTACTACTGATAACAAGCATGCATGTATTAGTTCATAATTTGTATCACTTTAGCATCCAAAGCTTAACTTTCAACAGAAGTTATCAAATTAACCCTCAGGAGGATATCAATCTTTAAACAGATCATAGAAACTGCCTACATGAGAGTGAGAGAGACCAAAGTCCAAGAGTCTCACCATTTTCTTTTGCTCTGTATCTCCAGAACTTATACGCAGAAAAGACCAAGATCACCAAAACGGAAAGGCTTGCAGTAGCACCTGCAATAATCGTTGTTCGAGTGCTTCCAGCTGAAAACAAGAACTTCAAACTTCAGACCATGCTGCTAGAGAAAATAACATCATAAAGAAAGTTGAAATTTAAAATGTAACAAGTAAACGCTTTTCATCCTCACCCAATTCCGAACTTGCAAGACGAAGGGAAAGGGACTCTCCATCAGACAGAAACTGAACCGTGTCTACAAGCTCTCGGTTCCATACCAAGCATCCAATACCGCTTATATAAGCAAAGGCTGTGCAAGAACAGTTTCCAAGACAACCTTGGTGACACTGTTCCGCATTGAGAAAGCTTGCAAACTGGTAACCATCCGGAGTCTTGACATGTTTCATATGATAGAAGATGTCTGCGTCTTTGCCTTGTGTGTTTTTAGAAGAATCCGCTTGGCAAGAGAGTTGCGTATGCCTCACGCAACCACTTGTCCAGTTCCCTTTTCTCCACTCTTCGTCTGACTTTGGTACAAACCCTTTCAAGCATATACACTTCGGTGTACTCGTCCTCATACACAGACCAAAAGGCCCACAAGCACCGTATAGATCACATGAGCTCGATGGAGCCGCAAAGTGAAGAGTCCAATTCTTTCCATCGTTCCATAGGATCTTCATTTGCCCCTCTGATGTTAGTGTAACATACGATAACTTATAGTTTCTCAGCTGTGAATAAGAGAAAGAAGCTGTGCCTTTCTCTACATCTTGTACAACAGTGAATGGACTTACATAAGATGCATCGATTCCAGGTATACCAGAGAATCTTGTTTTAGCCCATGGACCACTTCTCCAGTAAGGCTCTGAGCCTCTCCTTATAAGGCCTTGTGGTGGGACTTGTGGTGTAAACTCCAGTGAGAATTCTCCAGGGGATGGATCGTTGTTACTCTTCCATGGGGTCAACACACGTTTCTTGCCACGGGGAAGATCATAAGCCACCGAAGACTGAGGCAACATAGTGTTACCAAGATTCTCGAAGCTTTGCCATAACGTTTTCCCTGAAACATCATCGATTACAACGAGATTCCCTGTGTCTAAAAGCTCCGCATGACACTTGTTCTTGGATGTGAAAGCCTCTCCTGTTGACCAAATAACATCTTGCTGTCCGCTAAGCAAGATCAGGCTCCCGTTGGTGCTGCTGATGGTGAGATTCGCCGCGGTTTTTGTGACTGGCTTATCTCTGTTAGCCACCCACACAACGACCTGAGGAGTGATGTTCTTGAACCAGATCCCAACGTACCGAAACAGGGTGTTGTTAGGACTGAAGAAGCCTAACTCATAAACTCCATTAGGTGAGCTCAGAGTTTGTCCTATTGACAAAGGACTTGATGTGTTTATATCTGCATTGCCACGACTTGAGAATATAGTTAGCAAGAGCAAGCAAACAGATAAAACTGTACTCATCTTTCTCAAGTGTACTCTTATTATGTTGTGGAGATTTGAACATATATATGAGCAAAAGTTTACGTTGATGAGCAGAGATTATTAATACTTGATTAGAACAAAGGCTTCCGTGTTAAGTTACAAAAAAAAACATAGGCTTCCGTGTTATACGGACATCGTACGTATTGACAATAATATAATATATTCTCTTTTCGTCAACGAGCATATTTGTAAGTATGATAATAATCTAAACATATTCGACCAAAAAAAATAATCTAAACATAAAAATAAACCATGTTGACATCGTTGACCTAGAAATTTCCATGTCTCTTCATAATGGATAGAATCTAGCAAAAGACCATAATTTCCTCATTTTGGTCTTCACATAGTCAAAACTACACAGCAAATAATTTTGCAGCTTTTGTATTTTCCAAACGACTTTCAAACGTTACTATAGCTTTTAAACGTTACTATAGCTTTATTCTTCATAATGATAGATTTTCGAAATTGTTTTCAAACGTTACTATAGCTTTTATGCTGCATATTGATAGACATATATAGTAAAAACAGCAAAAGTTGAATATCGAAAGAGACCTAGAAGAAGCTAACCTGAAACACTCTTAAGTCCTTGTCGCCAGCCTTTGAAACCTTACAGAACTATGGCGGCCAATTACTTAAATTTCGATTAAATTACATATAGTCAAAACCATTGGTGTGTCACCAAGAGAAGACAAGACAGCCTTTAAACTTTAACAGAAACAAAACACTAATACAACAACATGACCTGATGAAAATGCCCACGAAGCACACTCACATGCCCATGTCTCAAAGAAGAACAAAACGGAAGAAAGCGTGAGAGGCAGAAACTCGTAGACGCTCCATGTTTTCTTCCCAAGGAACCTTCCTACCATATCTAATTTTTAAGAGCATACTTAACTGATAATCCAATGGTGGTTTTTCTTGCAATCTGTGGGTAATACTGATTGTGAGAGCTGTGGTTGAGTAGCTAAGATGTATCATCTACTAGTTTTATAATCATAGAGAGTAGTAATCTATATTATCTTTAATCATTAGAGACAATATGATGGTTACAATATGATTAACCATTGATATCGACTCTACAACCGATATTAGTTTTAGCTTTTAACTAAGTCTTTAACCCAATGTTCCAATTACCCTCGTTACCTCATTGGAATAAATGTTGCCCCTTCTATTTTACAATATAAGTGGTTTTGAAAATTTCTTTATGTCTTAATGTTTTACAATATAAGTTGTTTTCAAAGTTTTAGATGAAATGATATATTTTATTAATAAAAATACCTGAAAAGGTAAAAAGTAAAACTAAATATGATTAAATAGTATTTTTTAACTTTAAATAAATACTTTTGACAAAATAATAATTATTTTTTTTAGTAAAAGCAAAATATGCTTAAATATGTGTGTTCTAATCCAAAATAATTTATATTTTAAAACAGAAGAAGTAGTATTTTAGAATCGGTTTGACTAAGAGAAGTACATTACGCCAAACACTTATTTGAGTTTTAATAAAATTGTAAATGATTGTAGATGAATTGAAATATGATTTTAGATGAATTGAAATATTAGTCATGATTTGTTATTAAATTGTTATTGAATCTCATATGAAATTTTGAGTCTCTAATATCTTTTAAAAAAAAAACTCCAACAACAGAATATGAAAATTACTATATCCCATTAAGTTGTTCCTTATAATATTTATAATATTTCTTATACTAATGGATTTGATATATAACAAAATACATCACAATACAAAGCCCAACACGAGAAATAAGAGCATTTCTAATGTATTTTTATTTTATTTTAAAGTTTGCAGAAAAATTCTTTCCAATCCATTTCTATTTTTACCTTTAAAATAGAAGATGTTATATTTTCCTTTAGATTTGGAGGAACTCTATTTATTTCTCTATAATAGAGATTGAATTTTTTATTTATAAATTAGTTTTTCAACTTTGAAATCTTTTTATTTTTATTTATATAACAAATATAGAAATTTAATTAATTATTTACATAACTTATTTTTTATACTTTCAGAAAATGATCATGCTAACATTTAATATGCCTAAATATATAATTTGGCTATGAAATCTTCTAAGAAGAACTGATTTCTTTCATACATCAGTGACGTTGATCAGAGGTCCTCTTCGGTACATCATATTGGTTTTATGCTCTTGTATCAATTTAGAAGCCATTGCTTCTTGTACAAGACATAAATATTTGATAAAGAAAAGTAAAATAAAATTTGGAAGAGAAAAAAGAACAGAGTATAGAATCTGGAAAACTTCTCTTTATCTGGACAATTTTACATTTACACATCACTAATACTTATATAGTGATTTTACATAAACGAACACAACTGTTCATAATGATACATAACTGTTCGTAACTTTATATGTACCCTTTCGTTAAATTACGACTAATATACCTCTCTTTATTTTATATAACGCTAGCTTATATAATTAATATATAAGCAAACTCAATTATAAACTAACACTCCCCCTTAATTGAGTTTCGCTCTAACTCCAAACTGTTTAATTTGTTCTTCAGGCTTTGTGAAACTAACACCAAACGCCTCTTTCAAACTCTAACTTCCTAACTTCATTGAAGTTATTTCTGTAACTGAGTGTCCTCATCTCTTCTGAGTGAACCTTCTTTTTCTTCAATTAGTCATGTCGTCTTGACATCTCTTTCTTAGACTATGTGTTTTCTTTGGTGACTTCTTTTGATCACCATCACGTCACGTCCCTGTGACATTTCATGCATAGGTCACCTGCACGTCTTCTTCTGTTATCTCTATAACAGGTTCTCTGATGTGCGTGAATTTTCTCCACATCTTCTTCGGTTATGTGTAACCGGTTCCCTTCTTGAGTGCGTGAATCTTCTTCTCCACGACTTTACTGTTATTTCTGTAACCATTCTCTTCGCTCCATTTTTCTTATAGGCAAGCATCCTATTTTATTGCTTGGTGCCATCTTTTGAACACCATTACGTCTCCTTGACGTCTCGTTCGTGAATCTCTTTCACATTTTCCTCGGCTATCTCCGTGACCATTTTCTTTGCTCCATTTGCGTAACACTTAACAGATTCCTTGCTAAGTCCGACACTAGTAACACCTCTTTGATAATCTTCTCTCCTTCGCTAGTCATCACTTGGATATTCCCTTTCCCTGCCGTGATTACTCTTTGACCATTCCCCACTTTGATTGGTATTTTGATACTCTTATCAAGAGTGATTAAGTATGATACTTCCTTGGTCATGTGGTTAGTACATCCGCTGTCAACTAACCATGTTTCATCATCTACTTTTGATGATGTTTCTTCTTCCACTGCACTAAACAGCATGTGACCTTCATCTTCTGAGTCATCTTCTGTTTCTTCAATACTTAGATCCGCACTCTCGGTTTTTCTAAGTTTGCAGTTTTTTTTGCTGAGTAGCCTTTCTCTGTTGTTTTTTTTCAACAAGCGGCTTCCTCCTATATGAACGTCTTTCATGTGTTTTATTCTGTGAAGAAACACGATCTTCATGTGCATGAATGAATCTTATCAACTCTGCCACCCATAGTGTAGTCTTAATTCCTTCATTGAAGCCTTCTTCCATTGACTTTTCAATTGCACCCCTTCGGGTGTCTCTTTTGGTTGTGTCGATCGGTTCGGAACTCTTCCACCACCACACACAACTCCGGCTTCCCTCACGTCTCCTGCGTGAAACCTTTTTCCTATAGTTGCGGAATTATTGCTTCTCTTTGTGCTTCAGTTGGCCCTTGAATCATAAGAGCTCTGATACCATGTTGGTTTTATGCTCTTGTATCAATTTAGAAGCTATTGCTTCTTGTACAAGACATAAATATTTGATAAAGAAAAGTAAAATAGAATTTGAAAGAGAAAAGAGAACAGAGTATAGAATCTGGAAAACTTCTCTTTATCTGGACAATCTTACATTTACACATCACTAATACTTATATAGTGATCTTACATAAACGAACACAACTATTCATAATGATACATAACTGTTCGTAACTTTATATGTACCCTTTCGTTAAGTTACGACTAATATACTTCTCTTTATTTTACATAACGCTAGCTTATATAATTAATATAGAAGCAAACTCAATTATAAACTAACACATCAGTGGCATTGATCAGATGTCTTTCAACGGAGTAGATATAATTCTGCTTTAGGAAAGATTTTGTCTATGTTCACCTCTTTGTTCAAAACCAGAACCCCTCGACATCTAATAGCGAGGTTGCATTTTAGGGCGAGCAGCAAATCAAAAGGTTAAAGAATTTGTATCATTTTTATGGTTTAAACAGTTTTGTTTTTTTAGCTAGCAAAATTTGAGAGATTTGTTAGTTCCATTCAACAAAATTTAAGCATTTTACTGGGTATTACCAGATTATACAAATATTAATTAAAAGTGTTACTATTAGAATGTAGCTGAAAAATACAAATATTGTTCAAAAACTTAAAAACGATTTTCAAATATTAACTGCATAAATTTTAATTTTTTTCAAAAGTTGTGAATGCTTTTCTATTCCTAATTATGATCATTCATGGAGAGCAACCACACAACTAAATGCATATGATAATGTTGAAAGAAAAAAAAACTCATACGATAATAAAAGCAAGCATTCAACAAAAAGTTATGTAAAAACAAAATAACACGTTTCATAGCATATACTATATTAAAATGACATGAAATTTATTTGTCTAAAAGTTCCAACATTCTTTATCACCATCATCTAACTATCTTGTTCCTGTAATTGAGAGGATGTGTTTCGATTCTGCCAAACAAAAATGGAGCTTAGTATCAGAGAGACTAAAAAGAAATTTGACGAAAAGTTGAAGTCTTTGCATGCCAAAGAAGAAGCGATCAAGTTTAAAAGCCTCCTTTTGTTTTTATGAACTTAGAATTTTAATTTCCTTATTTTTTTTCCGGTGGCTTTGCTTATTCTGTATGATTTTCTCTACTTTTGCTTATGTATTAAAAACACCATGGATGATAAAAAAAAATATGTTGCCATTGTGTTTTCTCGGCAAGATCTGTTGGATTAAAATGGCGTTCTTGACAAGTTGATTTAAACTTTTTGTTACACAGATAAGCTAACAATTCTTAAAATCTCCATCACACTTTGTTTCTTAACGCCCAAGGATTAAAGACAGTGTGGACTCATTGACAGTGATCAAACCCTTGGACAAGGATGATTCTTCATCTCTCGTGTGCACTACAAATAAGGGTTGTTTTGGTAATGGAATATCTGATGTTGTGGTGAGCATAGACAGCAACCTAAGTGTGTTGGGTCTCTCTACAGGTTGATGTTGAACACAGAGCAGAGCAATCTGAACACATCTTCCAACTTCTAATGGGCAACATGAATCAGCAACATCTTTATCCAAAAGATCAACTCCTCCAGTTTCACACCAAGATTCCCACGCCTGTTGTTTAGTTTCAGATCTTGATAATATAAGAGCAAGAAACGAATTTGAAACCTTTGCGAGTGAATGAGAACTTTTAAGTCTTAAACTTACATATGCAAGAAGGGTTTTTCCTTCTTCGCCATGGCTGAATCTTGAGATCTTCTCTCCACTGATGATTTCTAACAGTAGAACTCCGAAGCTGTAGATGTCTGATTTCTCAGAGAACATCCCTGTCCATGCATACTCAGGAGACATATATCCTCTGTTCAAATACCAAAAACATTCACTAAGTTTTATAGTACATGATTATGGTTATGACTTATGAATCTTGTTTAAGCATGTTTCTGAAAACAGATTCATCTTACAGAGTTCCTGCAACCCTGCGAGTGTTGTCCTGATACTCGGTTCCCTGATACATCCGAGCCAATCCAAAATCTGATATTTTTGGGTTCATCTTCTCATCCAGAAGAATATTGCTAACCTTCAGATCTCGGTGAATGACTCTGAGGAGTGAGTCACGGTGGAGATAGAGAAGTCCACGCGCAATACCTTGGATGATATCAAATCTCTTGGGCCAGTCAAGTTCAATCCTTTTGTTTGAATCTATGAAATAGTAAACTATCAGATAAACTGTTCTACACAGAAAATAATGTGTAGTAGGAAAGACGAGACCCACCAAAGAGAAAAAGTATCAAGGCTTTTGTTCAACAAGAACTCATAAATCAATAGCTTCTCTTCTCCTTCAGTGCAACATCCCAAAATCCGGACTAAGTTTCTGTGTTGGAGTTTTGAGATGAGTACTATTTCATTCATGAACTCCTCCTTGCCCTGCCCTGAGCTGCTAGAAAGCCGCTTTACAGCTATTTCTTTCCCATCTTGCAGCTTTCCCTGAAATAGATTGCACAAGGTCAATCTCGAGAGCATTAACAGAGAATGTATAAGAGCAAAGAGGCTAAAAATTCTCCTACCTTGTAAACTGAGCCAAATCCACCTTGCCCGAGTTTATTTGAGAGACTGAAATTGTTGGTGGCAGTTTGAATGGTACTCATCTCAAAGAAACTTAAACCTGAGACATCTTGTTGTTCCAGAACATTCCTCCATGCATCTTGTGAAGCATTTTGTGAAACTAGAGTTTCAAGCATACACAATAAGGGCATCAGTGTGTTGCCATTAGCAAGCAAATGAATAGATAAAACAACAAGTAATAGATTGAGAGAGAGTAAAATTCGTCATTTCGTACGTTATGTTTCACTTTGTGTCTCCAGAAACCAAACGCAGCAGAACCCAATACAACAAAAAAGAGAAAGGCTTAAAACACTAGCAGCAACGGTACTCCTGCTATTATTTCCACCTACGATATATAAGAGAAACAAATAATAGACAATAAGCAAGGATACTAACTACCTAAAAGAAAGGTATCGTGGAGTTGAAGATTAAGTTTTAAATGAAGAAGTAGCTATTTCGTGTTATTTTTTAACCCATACCTAGTTCAGAGCGTGCAAGACGAATGGAAAGAAGCTCTCCTCCAGCAGAGAATTGCACTACGTCTATCAGGTCCTGGCTCCATACTAAGCACCCTATTCCATTAATATAAGCAAAGGCCAAGCAAGAACAGTTGTGGAGGCAAATTTGGCGACAATCTTCAGCGACCAGGATGGGATTTTCTGAACTTGCAAGCTCGTAAAAATCTGGAGGCTTTACGTTAGCAACAATATGAAAGACGTCTACATCTTTGCCAGTAGAGTTCCCTTGACAAAGTAGCTCGGTACGTCTCACACAACCAACAGTCCAGTTTCCTCTTTTCCACTCCTCAATGTATTTTGGCACAAACCCTTTTAAGCATTTACACTTTGGAGGTACACTCAACCCAAAAGGTCCACATACACCATAAATATCGGATGAATTGAGTAGAGTATCATATTTTAATATCCAGTCACTCCCACTATGCCAATAAATCCTCAACGAGCCCTCTGATGTTAGCATTACACGTGAACGAAGTCTTGTTTCGAGATAAGTGAAGGATACTGACCCGTTTGCATCCTGCTGAAGGCCGAATGGGCTTGCATATGTCACATCCATAACTGGTATCCCGGCGAACCTTGTTTTAGCCCATGGACCACTTCTCCAATAAGGCCTCGAGCCTCTCATAGTATACACCTGCGATGGCACTTGCGGTGTAATCTCAAATGTAAACTCACCAGGGGATGGATCAGTGGAACTTTTCCAAGAAGTAACACCTGCTTCTCACCCGTAGTGAGATTATACATCACGGATGAAAAAGGGAGCATAGAATCACTAAGATGCGCAAAGCTTTCCCATAGAGTTCTCCTTGAGACATTGTCTATGACAATAAGATTCCCGGTGTCTGAAAGCTCTGCACGAGACCCGTTAGATGCCGAAGCTTCTGCGGTGGACCAGACAACCCCATGCTTGCCATTGAATAAGAGAAGACTTCCATTGCTGTTGGTAGTTAGATTTGCTGTGGAGTCTGTAACAGGCTTTTCTCTATTGGCCACCCACACAACCACCCGGGGAATGATACCCTTGTACCAGATTCCGACGTATTGGTTTAGGGAGTTGTTAGGACTGAAGAAACCCAATTCATAAAATCCATTAGAGGAGCTGAGAGTTTGTCCTGTTGACAAAGGACTCTCTGTCGTTATCCCTGCAAAGCTAAAACTTGAATTCATGGTAAAAAAGAGCAAAGAAGCAAAGAGCACGATTCTCTTCTTCCCCATGTGCTTTTGTCTCTCCAATAACTACTTTCCTCAGATTAGTTTAAGAAAGCGAAGAAAAAAGAAAGAAAGAACATTCAGGGACTTGTGATTAATATTACCAAGCATCCACACTTATGTTCCAAAATGATGCATCACTTTTATAAAGAAACCTTACGTAATTGCCACGAAGAAAGTCCAACTTTTCACCCAATCAAGTACGCAACATTGTCATTTTCATATTATATAGGCCCCAATGGAAAGATAAAAATCCAACATTTTTATCCCGTCAACCACACATTGATTGAAGTCAACCTGCCAAAGATAAAAGTTTACACTCTGCACCAACTGAAACATGACTATGAATAGAATAAATCAGATGATGAGAGTATAAATTAATCAGATACTTCTTATTCATCTTGTTACTGTTAGTGGAATCTAGTGGATTCCGAGTACCGATTTGGCGTTAACTAGTGTGTCTCGTTAAATTTGTGCGTGTGTTCCTTTCTTCTTCTCTTGCTCAAACCATCTTATTCATTCAGTCTTGATCCTCTGTTTCTTTTCTTCTGTATTGGGTCATCTCTGTCTTGGTTTGTTGGGACTTGGAACTTCTCCTGCGGAAAGTCGATGCCTTTAGGGTCAAAGAGTCCTAACAACAGAAACTACACAGGAACGTATGGGCTTGACCAGCCAAGAACGCAAACGACTCACAATACTTCAAAAATTATAGAAAAAGCCCCTCAAGTACAACAAAATCCATTTCAAAACCCTTAACTAATATTTCGAGGCAAAAGACTAAGGTAGCATAGTATTACTACTACCAATTGACAAAGGACTTGATGTGTCTATATCCTAATTACAATACAGATTAAGAAATTTCCTTGGAACGTTATAGTAGCTTAATGCTGCATATTAATAACGAAAGTACAAACTGCAAAGTGAAGATCCAAGGACCTAGAAGAAGCTCACCTGAACCATTGTACCGGTTTAAGCAACGCTAATACTATTGCCACAATCACCATGATCCATGACACCATCTGAGCATAGCTTTGAAGCCTTACATTTCATTCAGACATTTCACCAAACACTTACAGTGCATAACCCAAACAGTTGCAAATTGCCGCCAGGTTTCAAATCTCAGTGGAGATAGTCAATCAATCAAACAAACTATACGATCGACTGTTCCAACTCTCACCACCTGAGCTACATTTAGTCAAATTCGTCGACTTTACGGTGAAGAACATTGGTGGGTCGTCACCATTTGTGAGTCGCAAGAGAAGACAACTCAGTACGATTTCAAGAAACGAGTTACATTTTGATTAGGCTTTAACTGGAAACAAAACACCAATACGGCCCAAGTAGATTCCAAGCTCAAAGACAAGAAGGTCTTGGGTTTTGTCAAGTACAAGTTTCATAAAATCTGTACTACCGTTAAGTCACTGCCACTTTGGTATGAACAACGTATTGAACCAACTTTATGGATGCAAATAGATGCATTTTTAAAGAAATAAATTACGGTGGAATTGACTATTCCTCTAAAATATTACCATTTGCAAAAAAAATTAGTAGAAACAAATTCCACAAAAAATAACTTAATAAAAACATTTTTCCATCATTCTAATTCCACTAATTTGCATTCCACTTATTTTTATTCCACTAATTTTATTCATTTTACATTTCAGTACTTATTATGTTCATGTTAATTTAAGTTTATATGTTTTTCAAATTACCAAAAGAACACATAAAATATTTTAGAATTTATTCAAACTAAATTGATTTGGTAAAGTTTATTTGTTTACTCTATATCTTTTGTATAGAGATATTCAGAACATATGGAAACTATTAATCTTATTTTGTAAGCGTATATCATGAATTATTTTACGCATTTTTCCCTTGCTTTTGACAACAACATCCTTCGATAGCAGTACACCGGCCATAACTATAATGATATTTATTACAAAATTCAGTGCATCTGTCAACATAACATGGACGAGGTCCTCCGAAGCAAGACACGACTCCTATTCCATAACCTGTTTATTAATAAAAATCATTAAATCAATATACACATTACATAAGCATGACCATAAATTGAGAAAAACAAAAACGAATAGGGTATGTAAATCGATATTACCTGGTTCAGTATCAGCAATTGTCGAACGACAATAAACAGAAGATATAATTGATAAGACAATGAAAACAAATGTGACTGAAGATTTAATGGTGATAGCCATATTTTGATATTCTTCTCTCTCTCTTTTTTTTTTTTTTGCTTTTCTTAATGTAGACTGATCACATATATATAGCAACACAAACATATGTTAAAAGATATTTTTTCCAACCAGATGAAAAAAGAATATAATTTTTATATTTATTTTCTTATATATTTACAGTCAAAAGTAGAAATTGTTTTACCTAATTATGTTATATAACTAATTATTGTCTGAATGACAGACCTTCCTTAACCAAATAAAACGTTGACATACAGAACAAAAGCAGAAATAAAAATCTTATCAAAAGCTGGCATGATAAGCTGATATAAACTTTACATCAATTCTCACTGTGTTTACATGAGCCAATTTAGCATTATTTTATACGCTGTGTCACATCAGATAGGTGTACATAAAATCTGATGGATTTAAATCTTATCAAAAGCTGGCATGATAAGCTGGTATAAACTTTACATATCAAAAACTAGGAAACGTCTCATGATTCCTCTTTAAGATGCAGAATGATTAAAAGGATCTCACATATGTGATTGTGTATACTTTCTTTTTCGTCGATCCTGAAATAGTGATTAGAGAATTCAATCACGCTAGTGCTGATGAATAACAATGAGATTATCCAATATAGGATTGTTTTGTTAATTTTGTTTTCTTTAAAATGCGTTGAGGATATGTTAAGGTATATCGGATCATTGTAGCCAAAAATCGCAGACTTTGACCAGCCAAGATCGCAAACGACTCATAATACTTCAAATTTTATCTTAAAATTCCCTCAAGTACAACAAAGTCGAGTTTAAAACCCTTAATTAATATTTTTTTATACAAAAAACTAAAATATCATCGTAGATTTTAAATTTTTATTAATTTATAGAGTTATAGTAGTAAAATAGAGAGATTTTTTATTCGAATTCTTAATATTCATAAAAATAAAATAAAAAAATATTTTTGACATTATATTTTACTATATTATATTAATTATATATGTTTAGATATATAATAATTAATTTATCTGATTATTAAAACCATATATTTAAATAAAAGTTTTTTAAAAATATTATTTTGTTGAATTTTGCTAATTTTTATAGTAGTTTATAAAGTTATTAATGATCAAATATTCATTTATACAAGTTTCTACTGTATCGCCAATTGACAAAGGACTTGATGTGTATATATCTGCATAGCAACGAGTTGAGAATATAGTTAGTAAACAAAAAAATCTCTCTCAAGTGTACTCTTATTTGTGGTGCACGTTTCCTAAGCAATAAAGACTTCCGTGTTATATCCTCTATACATTAAGCAATGTAAATAAACGGATTAGACCACCATCACCACAACACATTAATTTAAAATTTCAAAGCTTTTCTTCTGATTGATAAGAAATGTAACTTTGAAAGTAAATTTCTGTTTCTACAGCAAAAGAAAACCAAGATTTTTTTTGAAAAGTTGATCTCTTTAAGGAGTACACATCAATTCTAAAATCTCCATCACACATTGTTTCTTAACGCCCAAGGATCTCAGACTCAGTCATCTCATTGACGGTGATGAAACCCTTAGACAAGCATTCTTCATCTCTCGTGTGTACAACAAATGTGGGTTGTTTTGGTGATGGAAGATCTGATGTTGTGGTGAGCATAGACAGCAACTCAAGTGTGTTGGGTCTGTCTGCAGGTTGGTGTTGAACACAGAGCAGACCAATCTGAACACATCTCCCAACTTCTAATGGGCAACATGAATCAGCAACATCTTTATCCAAAAGATCAACTCCTCCATTTTCACACCAAGATTCCCACGCCTGTTTTTTTCGTTTCAGATCTTAAGAGTATAAGAGAGCATGAAACGTTTTGAAACATTCGCAAGAGTATGAAACACTAAAGTTTTACTTACATATGCGAGAAGGGTTTTTCCTTCTTCGCCACAGCTAAATCTTGAGATCTTCTCTCCGCTGATGATTTCCAACAGCAGAACTCCGAAGCTGTAGATGTCTGATTTCTCAGAGAACATCCCTGTCCATGCATACTCGGGAGACATATACCCTCTGCACATATATCAAAAACATTCTTTCCAAGTTTTATATATGATTATGATTTATGACTATGAATCTTGTTAAGCATGCTCTGAAAATAGATTTCTTACAGCGTTCCTGCAACCCTGCGAGTGTTGTCCTGATACTCGGTTCCCTGGTACATCCGAGCCAATCCAAAGTCTGATATTTTTGGGTTCATCTTCTCATCCAGAAGAATATTACTAACCTTGAGATCTCGGTGAATGACCTTGAGGCGTGAGTCACGGTGGAGATAGAGAAGTCCACGCGCAATACCTTGGATGATATCAAATCTCTTTGGCCAATCAATCTCAATCCTTCTTCTTGAATCTAAGCAATATAATACTATCAGATAAACTGTTCTACATCTACACAGAGAAAAATCTTTTACTAGGAAAGTAATACGGCGCAAGAAGAGGCCCACCGAAGATAAAAGTATCAAGGCTTTTGTTCAACAAGAACTCATAAATCAATAGCCTCTCTTCTCCCTCAATGCAACATCCCAAAATCCGAACCAAGTTTTTGTGTTGTAGTTTTGAGATGAGTACTATTTCATTCATGAACTCCTCTTTGCCCTGCCCCGAGCTGCTAGAAAGCCGCTTCACAGCAACTTCTTTCCCATCCTGCAGCTTTCCCTGAAACAGATTACAGAATGTCAATCTCAAGAGCAGAAACAGAGAATACAAAAGAGCTAAACATTCTCCTACCTTGTAAACTGAGCCAAATCCACCTTGTCCGAGTTTATTTGAGAGGCTGAAATTATTGGTGGCAGTTTCAATGGTATTCATGGCAAAGAAATTTAAACCTGGGACATCTTGTGGTTTCAGGCCATTCCTCCATGCATCTTGTGAGGGATCCATTGCTAAATTAGGATAGATAGATAGTAAAGTCATCAGTAGGTTACCGTCAGCAAGCAAATGAATAAATAGAGAGAGAGAGTTACCGTTCTGTTTCACTTGGTAGCTACAGAAACAAAATGCAGCAGAACCCAATATCACAAAAAGGGAAAGGCTCACAACAGTAGCAGCAATGGTCTTCTTGCGATTATTTCCACCTACGATACATAAGAGAAACAAAAATTACACAATAAGCAAGACTACTAACTACAAGAAAAGTATCAGTGTAGTTGAAGATAAAGTTTCGTGTTACTTGTTAACCCATACCTAGTTCAGAGCGTGCAAGACGAATGGAGAGAAGCTCTCCTCCCGCAGAGAATTGCACTACGTCTATTAGCTCCTGGTTCCACACCAAGCACCCTATCCCATTAATAAAAGCAAAGGCCAAGCAAGAACAGTTGTGGAGGCAACTTTGGTAGCATTCTTCAGCATTCAAAGAAGTTGCAAATTCGTAAAAGTCTGGAGGCTTTATGTTGGCAACATGATGGAAGATGTTTACATCTTTGCCAGTAGAGTTTCCTTGACAATGTAGTTCGGTGCGTCTCACACAACCATCAGTCCAGTTCCCTCTTTTCCATTCTTCAGCGGATTTAGGTACGAACCCTTCCAAGCATTTACACTTTGTAGACGCTGACATAATGCACAACCCAAAAGGTCCACATACACCGTAAAGACATGAATTGGTTACTGAGTCTTCATAGGCTAGTTCCCATTCGGTCCCATTATGCCGAAACCTCTTCAGTGTACCCTCTGATGTTAAAACTAGACGTGAAAGTTTTGAGCTTCTGTCTACATAAGAGAAAGACCCTACCCCGTTTGCATCCTGCTGAAAGCTAAACGGACTTGCTAATGTTTCATCCATTTGCGGTACCCCGGCGAACCTCGTTTTAGCCCATGGACCTGTTCTTTTATAAGGCTTGGAGCCTCTCATAGTAACCAGCTGTGATGGCACTTGCGGTGTAATCCGAGCCACAAAGTCACCAGGCGATGGATCAGTGGAGCTTTTCCAAGAAGTCAACACTCGCTTCTCACTGGTGAGGGGTGAGAAAGGTAGCAGAGTATCACCAAGATGCTCAAAGCTTTCCCATAGCGTTTTTCCCGAAACATTGTCTGTGACAATGAGATTACCGCTGTCTGAAAGATCTGCACGAGACCCGTTAGATGCAGAAGTGTCTCTGGTGGACCACACAAGACCATCTTTTCCATCCAACAAGAGAAGACTTCCATTGGTGCTGATAGTTAGATGTGCCGTGGAGTCCGTAACAGGCTTTTCTCTATTGGCCACCCACACGACCACCCGGGGAATGAAACCCTTGAACCAGATTCCCACATACTGATTCTGGGAGTTGTTAGGACTGAAGAAACCCAGCTCATAAACTTCATCAGAGGAGCTGAGAGTTTGTCCTATTGACAAAGGACTCTCTCTCGTTATCCCTGCAAAGCTAAAACTTGTAAAGATAGTAAAAAAGAGCAAAGAAGCAAAGGGCACGATCCTCTTCTTCCCCATGTGTTTTTGTCTCTCCAATAACGAACTTCTTCAGATTAGTTTAAGAGCAAGAAAATCAATAAAAGAACGCCAGGGACTTGTGAGTACTAGTTTCTTAGGGTACACACGATCTTATAATAAGAACAAGAGATCTTTCTCGATCAATCTCTTTGCCCCTCATAATTACCTGTCAACTTAAACCAATACTTAGGTAATTGCCAAGTAGAGAATCAGCGTCTTTACTATGAGACATTTCTCAGTTTGACTTAAAAAATCCAACACTTGACCTTGTCAACCACGCATTGAATGACCTCATATTAAAATATCTCCATGTTTCCGAAATTTTTGTTCACCCTTACAACACAATCTAAATGTTTGTTGAACTAAGACTGGAGTTGTGAGAGAAATTAATGATCTACATACTTTTTCCTGGTAAATAGAGCGCAGCTTTTTATACCTTAAATCTCGTTCAGGCATTTCACCGAACAACTTGAGCGCGTACTCCAAACGTTTGAAATGAAGACATGCCGTTCAACGCTTCGCAGTGAAACTATGGCTCATTAAACATTGGTGTGTCTGTGTCTGTGTCTGTGTCTGTGTCAGTGTCTCCAGTGTGTCACCAGCGAGAGGTTAATTTATGAGACGCGAGGAAGACGGCACACCAAGTCTATTAGACTCGGTCAACTCAAAACATGGACCGGTTCTTTTTAGGCCTACTCAGCAGTTGGGCTTATTGGGTATAGGGCCCATTAAAATCTGTTACAATTCAGTTAAACAAGAATAAAACAAGAGTATACGATGAAATGTGAAGAATCCGTAGAAGATAATTTCGAGTCTTTGTATTGTTCTGATCTTTTCTCTTCTCTCTTCTCTGACCACAGGAAGAAAAACCTCCTATGAGAGAGTCAAGTTTGTAAGCAAATTCTCACACGTCATGTACAACTTTATCAGTCGTTAAAAGCCTTTGTGTCGTGTTGATTACAAGATTCTTGGTCAAGACTGATTTAGCTGGAAAAACTCTTATTACGTTTAGGCGAAGAATAATTATATATCCATCGTTCTCTCGTGGCTAAGATAAAATCACTTAGCACTAGCAATGAAAATGAGAATATATAGTTTGCTTTTAAATAAAGATAATTTATTTAAAGATGAAGTAAATGATAGATTATCATAGCTAGCTTTTCTAACGATGTTGTTAGAGCATTCCGATGTATAATTCTATTTTTCATCTTAAAATAGAACAATTGTATAATATAATTTCATTTCTCTCTAATGTATAATTTTATTTCCTATTCTAGTTTTTTTTTCTGTTTTATTACCAGTTGCTAATTGATTCATAGTTTCTTCAAAATTTACATGATTGAATAATTTTTTAAAAAACTTTTATAAATTATACCAAACTTTAAATTTAGTTATTTTAAAGGATTTTGAAAAGTCGACCACGTTTGGGATATTTTAAAAGACTTTGAAAAATTTCAAGATAGTGGCACCTCTACACAAACGGAAAATTTTAACGATAATTCTGCTATAGAAGTATCTCCAGGTTTGTCTTCATTTTCTCTAAATATAAATGATGATGAGATTATTGGTGAATCTCATTCTCAACAGCCAAGTGGAATAAAAAATCTAAAATAAAAAGAAAAATTGATGATGGAACATCAGTTGTTATCAACACTATAGAATAGGGAAATAAACTATTTTTGGAGCAATTAAAGAAGACAAGTGCACAAAGATAACACCATTTGGAGATTCAGAGTAAAAACTATGTCTTAAAACAATTTAAAGAAGAAAACAAATTTTTGTTCCAAGATTTGAATTCGATAGAAGATCCAAATCTTCGTGTATATGTTCAAACTGAAGAAGCACGAATTTTACAAAAAGGCCCGAACAACAACAACAACAATATCCATCCCAATCTGCTTCATTTGGATGATTTTTTAGTAATCCCAATAGACCCAAAAGTGATTTATCGGAGTATTAACTCAGTAATCGTTGTTTTACTAAAAATATTTATGTTATTTTTAATTTGAGTACTTTTAAATAATTTTGGTTTTATTATGGTTAGTGTCATTGTATTTTTTATTAAATAAATGTTATTTTATTTTAATTTTAGTGTTTTAATATTTATAATTAATTAATAAAAAGAAAGTATCAATAAAATAATAATTTATTAGTTTTAAAGTACAACTACTGAAAACTTGAATGGCCAATTTATAAATAAAAAAGTTCAATCTTATAATAAAATTAAGGATGAGATGGTTCCAAATTTGGAACAAGAAATAGCATTATTATATTTTAGAATCAAAAATAAAATAAAATTAAAGTTAAATTTATATTAAAGTAGAATATAACACCAGATTTACAATGGGGTTGGAGATGCTCTTAATATGTTATGTAACCATGCAAATGGCTAGTTTGTGTTGGCAAATAAATTTTCAACCGAACGAGTTGGTTGCAGACCATGACTCGAGTCTCTATTTTTTGTTAAAGAGACTCCAGTCTCAAACCCATTGATGTTCCTAAAGATTGGCTATGGAATATACGAAAAAGGATGATACACTGTAATCACTCTCCACGGAATCTCACAAATCCACTCAAAATGAAACTTGATTATTATTTCAATGAAATCCAATGTTCATACAAACAAAGAATTTCCCCAGTTTAAGAATCCCAAAAGAAGAAAGGATCCTTAAGATTTTACAGAGAAATCAAGAAGACGAAGAAAAGAGTTTGTTACAATTTCGGATAATCCTCCCATTTTCTCTCCTCGAGCTATAAAAGTGTATCAGCTCCTTGCCTCCATTTAATCCTAGCCATTCAACCCGCATAACATCTGAACCGACCATGTGTCATGTATCAAATCCTCCCCCTTCAAGCAACTGTGTCCTCATGGTTGAACGATGTAAAACGTTACGACAACTCATAGAGATACTCCCATGTAGCCTCATTGCCATCTTCATTACACCACTTAACCAAAACCATCATCGCAGGCTTGTGATGTCGCTGCACCATTTTTCTTTCCAACACTCGTTCTGGCTCTCTGTGTAACACATCGGCAACAGCCACCGGTAATGCAGTGCTCACAGAAACATCCCCAACCCGTAACTTGAGCTGTGACACGTGAAACACAGGATGTATCTTGCTTGTTTCTGGTAGTGCTAACTTGTAAGCTACCTGCCCACATTTATCCAAGACTTTATACGGGCCAAAATACTTAGTGACCATCTTATCAATTTCATTCTTCTGGTAGACTGCATAACGGTATGGTCTTTGGTTTATAGGATTCACACCTTCCACTAACTGAATCTTATGGTCGTGGTTACTGCAAAATGGAGGTAACGTCTTTGGCTCCTCGAAAATATCTTCAAACTTTTCTAGTAACTCTTTCACCACGGGTAGTTGTAACTTCTCGTTCTCAACTGCCTCGACTGCAAAGCAAGTAGTCAAATTCACCTGATCATCTTGACTAACACAGAGCATTGATAACTGAATGGCATCATCCTCGCGTTTATTATGTTTCTCGGCTTTAACTGCCTGCACCGAGCCCTGATGAATACCGTGAAGCACCACTTTTCGACTTCCCCACCAGAACTTCATCGTTAGATTTTTAAAATCCCACATTATAGGCCCGAGTTTATGTAGCCACTAAACCCCCAAAACTATGTCACACCCTTTCAATGGTAACACCATAAAATTTTCTGTAAATCCAGTGCCCTGAAAATCCCACTGAAACTGGTCCACTTTAGCTTTCACATCCAGTCTATACCCATCTGCTACACGAACTCTAGCATTGTCTCCAGAGCGAAGTTTGCAACCCAACTTCTTAGCCATTTCAGAATCCAAGAAGTTATGAGTCGAACCTGAGTCAACCAGCATAAACAAGGACTTCTTCTTATGAACCCTTTTCACTTTCATCGTGTTGAAATCTTGGATACCAGATAGAGCACTGAGTGAAATTTATGATGTTACACCATCGGTCTCGAGTTGGTCATCACCTTCAGCTAAAACGTCAGATTCTGTGTTCTCATCTAACTCCAACACATAGAGCTGAGTTTTCTTATGAACTTTGTAATGGCTTGGCGTGTATTTTTCATCACAGTAGTAGCACAATCCCTTAGATCTTCGATCGTTCATCTCTTCTGAAGAAAGAAAGACCTTTGGTTGATTCCCTTGCACTGTGACTTTCTCAGTTACAAGTTGTGGTCTCCACTTATTGTCAATCTCCTTTGGAGTAGCTAAAAGCCCTTTGCTTGCTTGTGAACCTTTAGCAGTCGACCATGCAGAACCAGAGCCTTTTGGAGGATGTGATGTTTCATAAAGCCTTCCCAACATGAGACATTGTCGAACAGTTTGAGGCTGGAACATGCGAACATGCATCTGAGTATTTGTGCGTAGTCCTGCCAAATAATTGCTGATCAAGTAGGCTTCCGATAGCTTCACTCGAGTACGGATCAACTCAAACTTATTGTGATAGTCCATAATACCCTCAGTTTCCCTTAACTTCTTCAACTCCGCAATAGGATCATCCCACACATCATCAAATCTCTCTGTGAGCAACAACTTATAACTGTTCCAATCCTGCAAATTCAGATATCCACTCTCATCCTGAACCAGAGATTGGTGCCATGTTGCCGCAATGTCATCGAGATGAATCGATGCTATAGAGATTTTAAGATCATCTGGTGTTCGATCTATCGTAAAGAATCGTTCTACTTTAAACAACCAATCCTTCAACCTAGCGCCATTAAACCTCGGGAAGTCAAGTTTAGCTAGCCTAGTGATTCCGTTATAGTTCATATGGTTACCGGATCCGGAGTTTTGGCCTTGCTCGTTGACATTTACAGGATTTGATTGGACTGGGGCTGGCAAATTAGATGTTTGCACCGTGAGCAGTCGAATCGCCTCAAAGAGATCTGCTGTTGTCTTCGCGATCGTCACATTTTGTTCCGAGACTCGCGTTTCCATGTTTGTTGACAGCAAATCATCTGATCGAGTCGCGAGTTCAAGGAATTGTCGCCGTCGCTGTTTGATGATTGGGGATGCGTTTCCACCACCATAGTTTCCGAGAATCATAAGACGTCTGATACCTTTGATACACCGTAATCACTCTCCACGAAATCTTACAAATTCACTCAAAATAAAACTTGATTATTATTTCAATGAAATCCAATGTTCATAAAAACAAAAAATTTCCCCAGTTTAAGAATCTCAAAAAAAAAAAAGATTCTTAAGATTTTACAGAGAAATTAAGAAGACGAAGAAAAGAGTTTGTTACAATTTTGGATAATCCTCCCCTTCTCTCTCTGCGAGCTATAAAAGTGTATCAGCTGTTTGCCTCCATTTAATCTAGTCGTTCAACCCGCACCGACCACATGTCCTAGTATCAAAGGACAATCGTCTTCGGTACATCAATGACATTAATATTCATAAAACATTTGTCTGTATCCGTGACTTTGAATCTTTTGATCAGAGTCCTTCAACCTCTAATATAGAGGTTGGACTTTAAAGCAAACAGTAAATCAAAAAGTTTTTTCTTTAGCTAGAAAAATTTGAATTTTTTTTTAGTTTTCTCTAACAAAATTTAAAGTATTTTTAGCATCTCACCAGATCTTACTAGATAATAAAAATATCAATTTAAATATTACTATTAGAAATTTAGCTAAAAAAACAAATATTGTTCAAAAAATAAAATTTTCAAATAGTAACCACATAAATATTCATTTTCTTTAAAAGTTGTGGATATTTGTCTCTTCCTTATTACGATCATTCATGCAGAGCAGCCATACTACTAAATGCATATGATAATGTTGACCAAAAAAAAAAAAATTTCCACGATAAGAAAACCAAAGCATTCAATAAAAAATTATGTAAAAACAAAATAACACGTCTAATAGCATATACTTTATTAAAAACACAGGAAATTTTCTTTTTGTCTAAAATTTCCAAAATTCTTTATCACCAATCACCATCAACGCTAACTACATTAATACATTGATACAAATCCAAAAAACTATACATGTTTCGTAAGTGAAGCCATATGTTTAGATGTTTCTCAAGTATAATATATATGTTTTTTATTGATCCAAAATAATACTAGTATATATGTTTCTTAAGTGAAGTTATATATATATATATATATATAAATGATGCAATTTTGTTATGTTTATTGATATAAAAGTATTATCGGATTGATTTGAGGAGTCCTATTTTGTTCCTGTAATTGATCTAAATTACTCTGTCCAACAAAAATGGAGTTTAGTAGCGGTAGAGACTAAGAAGAAATTTGAAGAAAAGTTGAAATTTTTGCATGCCAAAGAGAGCGATGAAGTTTGAATGTGACTGTGAAAAGATAGACTTTTTAAAAGAGGTTTGCTCTGTGATCATTACTAAACCAAACTAACAGATTATAAACCTCTTTTTTTCTGGTGGCTTTGCTTATTATGTATGATTTTCTCTACTTTGGGTTGTTGCTTTTGAATTAAAAAACACCATGGAAGATAAAAATATATATGTTGTCATTGTGTTTTCTCGGCAATATATGTTATATTAAAATGGAGTTCTTGACAAGTTGATTTAAACTTTTTGTTACACAGATAAGCTAACAATTCTTAAAATCTCCATCACACTTTGTTTCTTAACGCCCAAGGATCAATGACTGTGTGAACTCATTGACAGTGATCAAACCCTTGGACAAGGATGATTCTTCATCTCTCGTTTGCACTACATATAAGGGTTGTTTTGGTGATGGAAGAATATCTGAAGTTGTGGTGAGCATAGACAAGATTCTTACAACACTAGCAGCAACAGTACTCTTAAGATTGTCTCAATAAGCAAATTTAAGACAAAAACAAATTAAATCAATAAGCCATGCTGCTACCAAAGATAACACTATCAATGGAGTTTTGTAATTGGCGAAGCAGCTCTTTCGTGTTATCACCGCAACACACTAATTTAAAATTTCGAAGCTTTTCTTCTGATTGATCATAAATGTAACTTTGGAAATCTATCTGTTTCTACAACAAAAGAAAACCATTTTTGTGTGGAAATACTGATCTCTTTAAGGAGAACAAATTAAAACACATCAATTCTAAATTTTCCATCACATATTCTTTCTTAACGCCCAAAGATCAAAGACTCTGTCACCTCATTGACTGTGGTAAAACCCTTAGACAAGCATTCTTCATCTCTCTTCTGTACAACAAATGTGGGTTGTTTTGGTGATGGAAGATCTGATGTTGTGGTGAGCATAGACAGCAACTCAAGTGTGTTGGGTCTGTCTGCAGGTTGGTGTTGAACACAGAGCAGACCAATCTGAACACATCTCCCAACTTCTAATGGGCAACATGAATCAGCAACATCTTTATCCAAAAGATCAACTCCTCCATTTTCACACCAAGATTCCCACGCCTGTTTAGATTCAGATCTTACGAATATCAGAGCAAGATACGTTTTCAAACCATTGCGAGTGAATGAGAACTTTTAAGTCTTAAACTTACATATGCAAGAAGGGTTTTTCCTTCTTCCCCATGGCTGAACCTTGAGATCTTATCTCCGCTGATGATTTCTAACAGCAGAACTCCGAAGCTGTAGATGTCAGATTTCTCAGAGAACATCCCTGTCCATGCATACTCAGGAGACATATAACCTCTGCACATATATCAAGATCATTCATTCCAAGTTTACATATGATTATGATTTATGACTATGAATCTTGTTAAGCATTCTTTGGTAATAGATTTCTTACAGAGTTCCTACAACCCTGCGAGTGCTGTCCTGATACTCGGTTCCCTGATACATCCGAGCCAATCCAAAATCTGATATTTTTGGGTTCATCTTCTCATCCAGAAGAATATTGCTAACCTTAAGATCTCGGTGAATGACCTTGAGGCGTGAGTCACGGTGAAGATAGAGAAGTCCGCGCGCAATACCTTGGATGATATTGAATCTCTTTGGCCAGTCAATCTCAATCCTTCTTCTTGAATCTAAGCAATAATACAGTGTAGACTATCAGATAAACTGTTCTACATCTGATACTAGGAAAGTAATACGGCCGCAAGAAGAGGCCCACCGAAGATAAAAGTATCAAGGCTTTTGTTCAACAAGAACTCATAAATCAATAGCCTCTCTTCTCCTTCAATGCAGCATCCCAAAATCTGGACTAAGTTTTTGTGTTGGAGTTTTGAGATGAGTACTATTTCATTCATGAACTCCTCTCTCCCCTGCCCTGAGCTGCTAGAAAGCCGTTTTACTGCAATTTCTTTCCCATCCTGCAGCTTTCCCTGAAACAGAGAGCATAGTAAACAGAGAATACAAATGAGAAAAGATAACAAAAAAATTCTCCTACCTTGTAAACTGAGCCAAATCCACCTTGTCCAAGTTTATTTGAGAGACTGAAATTGTTGGTGGCAGTTTCAATGGTATTCATCTCAAAGAAATTTAAACCTGAGACATTTTGTCGTTTCAGACCAATCCTCCATGCATCTTGTAAAGCTGAAACCATAAGAGTTCCAAGAATACACAATAAGAGGCATCAGTGTGTTACCATTAGCAAGCAAATGAATAGATAAAAACAACAAGAAATAGATTGAGAGAATAGTAAGATCGTCAGTGTGTACCGTTATGTTTCACTCTGACTCTGTATCTCCAGAAACCAAACGCAGCAGAACCCAATACAACAAAAAGAGAAAGGCTTACAACACTAGCAGCAACGGTATTCTTGCGATTGTTTCCACCTGAGATATTTAAATCAAAAACAAATTAAACCAATAAGCCATGCTGCTACAAAAGATAACATTATCAATGGAGTTGTAGTTGATGAAGCAGCTCTTTCGTGTTATCTTATAAGCCGTACCTAGTTCAGAACGCGCAAGACGAATGCAAAGAAGCTCTCCTCCCGCAGGAAATTGCACCACGTCTATAAGCTCCTGGCTCCATACTACGCACCCTATTCCATTAATAAAAGCAAAGGCCAAGCAAGAACAGTTGTGGAGGCAAATTTGGTGACAATCTTCAGGGAGCAGGATGGGATTTGCTGAACTTGCAAGCTCGTAAAAATCTGGAGGCTTTACGTTGGCAATAGTATGGAAGACGTCTACATCTTTGCCAGTAGAGTTCCCCTGACAAAGTAGCCCGGTACGTCTCACACAACCACCGGTCCACTTTCCTCTTTTCCACTCCTCAACGTACTTTGGTACAAACCCTTTTAAGCATTTACACTTCGGAGGCACACACAACCCAAAAGGTCCACACACATCATAAATATCGCATGAATTGAGTATAGCATCATGGTTTATTTCCCAGTCGCTCCCATTATGCCAGTAAAGCCTCGCCGAGCCCTCTGTTGTTAGAATAATACGTGAACGGAGTCTTGTTTCAAGATACGTGAAGAATCCTGACCCGTTTGCATACTGCTCAAGGCTGAATGGACTTGCGTATGTCACATCCATTACTGGTACCCCGGCGAACCTTGTTTTAGCCCATGGACCGCTTCTCCAATAAGGCCTCGAGCCTCTCATAGTATACACCTGTGATGGCACTTGCGGTGTCATCTCAAGCACAAAGTCACCAGGCGATGGATCAGTGGAACTTTTCCAAGAAGTCAACACCTGACTCTCACCCGTTGCCAGATTATACGTCATGGATGAAAAAGGGAGCATAGTATCACTAAGATGCGCAAAGCTTTCCCATAGAGTTCTTCCCGAGATATTGTCTATGACAATAAGATTCCCGGTGACTAAAAGCTCTGCACGAGACCCGTTAGATGCAGAAGTTCCTCTGGTGGACCACACAACACCATGTTTGCCATCCAATATGGTAAGGCTTCCATTGGTGCTGATAGTTAGATTCGCCATGGAGTCTGTAATAGGCTTTTCTCTATTGGCCACCCACACAACCACCCGGGGAATGATACCTTTGTACCAGATTCCAACATACTGATTCTGTGAGTTGTTAGGACTGAAGAAACCCAGCTCATAAACTCCATCAGAGGAGCTGAGAGTTTGTCCTATTGACAAAGGACTCTCTCTCGTTATCCCTGCAAAGCTAAAACAGGAAAACATGGTAAACAAGAGCAAAGAAGCAAAGAGCACGATCCTCTTCTTCTTACCCATGTGCTTTTGTCTCTCCAATAACTAACTTCTTCCTCAGAAGAGTTTTAGAAGCGAACATATAACTAGAGTCTAGAGCAAGCAAGTCATGGACTTGTGAGAAGTATTTTCAGGCAATTATAAACAATGTTGACCACAACGCACTTATATCATTATCAACTTGAAACCTTTTCAATAATACAAAAGAAAAACAATATTCACCACGTAATTGCCAAAAAGTCCAGGTTTTTACCTAACCAATCACGTAGCACTGTCATTTTCATGGCGAGAACCAATGAAAGATCGACACCAAATACTCTCCATCAATCGAAAGACACAGTTTGACAAACAATTCAACATTTGACCGATATTGATTGACTTCTGATTTAAATATCTTGTTTTTCCCATCTTCGTTCACATTGACCTCTGATTTAAATATCTACACTCTGCATCAAACTGAAATATGCATAAGTCAAATAAATCAATAAGATATTTCTAAATGGTTTCTGAAATACTTACAACATACTGAAAATCATACCCATTTTCTGATTTTGCCTGTTAAGTCTCTTTCTCTACGTGCAGCTTTTGAAACTTTAAAATCTCGTTCAGGCATTTCACCGAACACTTACAGCGCGTAATCCAAACATTCGAAGACATACCGCACAAAGCTTGGCAAAAGCCACCGGACCGATATTACTCTTCAAAGTATGTCCGACAACATAAGGGCGTAACTGCTTCTGCATGATTCAACACTGTGTGTCAGTGTCACCAGCGAGAGCATAAACTGAAAAGACGCGAGGAAGACGACACACTCTATTAGACAAGTCAACTCAAAACATGGGCCGGTTCGTTTTGGGCCTATTCAAACAAATTAGGCTCAGCTGGTTACAGGGCCCATTAAAATCTGTTACAATTCACTTAAACAAGAATATAAAACAGAGTATAAGATGAAATGTGAAGAATCCGTAGAAGATTAGTCTTTTCTTCTTCCGAGTGCTGATCATCTTGTATTGTTCTGATCTTCTCTCTTCTCTGACCTCCATAAGAGCAAAGCTTCTAAATCTCCTTTGAGAGAGTGAAGTTAGTGAGCAAATTCTCTGTGTCGTGTTGATTACAAGATTCTTGGTCAAGACTGATTTAGCAGATGGAAAAACCCTTACGTTTAGGCTTTAACAGAAACAATATTTGATCAATAACACTATCCCAGTTTTATTTCCAAATGTGTTAACAAATGAAACATGAGATAATGTTGAAGTGATTCCTTTAAAGGAGAACAATCTTATATACACCTCAACTGAAAAAATTCCATCACACGTCGTTTCTTAACGCCCAAGGATCACAGATTGTGTCATCTCATTGGCAGTGAACAAACCCTTAGACAGGGATCGGTCATCTCTCGTGTGCAGTGCAAACGTGGGTTGTTCTGGTGATGGAAGATCTGATGTAGTGGTGAGCATAGACAGCAACTCGAGTGTGTTTGGTCTGTCTGCAGGTTGGTGTTGAACACAGAGAAGACCAACCTGAACACATCTCTCAACTTGTAATGGGCAACATGAATCAACAACATCTTTATCCAAAAGATCAATTCCTCCATTTTCACACCAAGATTCCCATGCCTGTTGTTTAGTTTCAGATATTAAGAATATGGGAGCATGAAACGTTTCAAACCTGTGCAAGTGTATGAGAACATAGTCTTTACTTACATATGCAAGAAGGGTTTTTCCTTCTTCGCCATAGCTGAATCTTGAGATTTTCTCTCCGCTGATGATTTCTAACAGTAGAACTCCAAAGCTATAAATGTCTGATTTCTCAGAGAACATCCCTGTCCATGCATACTCAGGAGCCATATATCCTCTGTGTAAACACATACAAAAAAGAATTGCAACCGAGTTTAATGTATGATTATGACTATGAATTTTGCTAAGCTTGTTTTGAAAATAGATTCTTACAGAGTTCCTACAACCCTGTGAGTGTTGTCCTGATACTCGGTTCCCTGATATATCCGAGCCAATCCAAAGTCTGATATTTTTGGGTTCATCTTCTCATCCAGAAGAATATTGCTAACCTTCAGATCTCGGTGAATGACCTTGAGGCGTGAGTCACGGTGGAGATAGAGAAGTCCACGCGCAATACCTTGGATGATATTGAATCTCTTAGGCCAGTCAATCTCAATCCTTCTTCTTGAATCTAAGCAATAATATATTGTAAAAATTATCAGATCATCTGTTCTACACAGAGAAGAAAACTACTAACAGTAACAGGTAAGGAAGGGGTCTACCAAAGAGAAAAGTATCAAGGCTTTTGTTCACCATAAACTCATAAATCAGTAGCCTCTCTTCTCCTTCAATGCAACATCCCAAAATTCGAGCTAAGTTTTTGTGTTGGAGTTTTGAGATGAGTACTATTTCATTCATGAACTCCTCTTTGCCCTGCACGGAGCTGCTAGAAAGCCGTTTTACGGCAATTTCTTTCCCATCCGGCAGCTTTCCCTGAAACATATTCAAGAATGTCATCTCGAGAGCATAAACAGAGAATACAAAAGAGCAAAGAGCACAAAAATTGTCTAACCTTGTAAACTGGGCCAAATCCACCTTGTCCGAGTTTATTTGACAGGCTGAAACTATTGGTGGCAGTTTCAATGGTATTCATCGCAAAGAAATTTAAACCTGGGACATCTTGTGGTTTCAGGCCATTCTTCCATGCATCTTGTGAGGCATCCTTTGATATAATAGCTGAAATGAAGTTACAAGAATAGATAGTAAAGTCATTAGTGTGTTACTATTAATGGGTAAGCAAGAAGAGATTGATAGAGAGAGAGAGAGAGAGAGAGAGAGAGAGAGAGAGAGAGAGAGAGAGAGAGAGAGAGAGAGAGAGAGAGTTACCGTCATGTTTCACTTTGTATCTATAGAAACCAAAAGTAGCAGAACCCAATATCACAAAAAAGGAAAGGCTCACAACAATAGCAGCAACGGTCTTCTTGCGCTTATTTCCATCTAAGACGAACAAACATTAAGCAATAAGCAATGCTACTACTGAAAAGACAAGTATCAAAGCTATTTCGTGTTATTTTTTAACCCATACCTAGTTCAGAGCGTGCAAGACGAATCGAAAGAAGCTCTCCTCCCGCAGAAAACTGCATTACGTCCATTAGCTCTTGATTCCATATTAAGCACCCAATTCCGCGAATATAAGCAAAGGCCACGCAAGAACAGTTGTGGAGACAAGTTCGGTGGCAGTCTTCAGAATCCACAGAACTTACAAATTCGTAAAAGTCTGGAGGCTTTATGTTGGCAACTTGATGGAAGACGTTTGCAACTTTGCCAGTAGAGTTCCCCTGACAATGTAGTTCCTTACGCCTCACACAACCATCAGTCCAGTTTCCTCTTTCCCACTCCTCAGCGGATTTGGGTACAAACCCTTTGAAGCATTTACACTTTGGAGATGCTGACATAACACACAGCCCAAAAGGTCCACATACACCGTAAACATCGCATGTATTGGCTAACGGAGCCTGATAGGTTACTTCCCAGTCGGTACCACTGTGCCGAAACCTCTTCAGTGAGCCCTCTGATGTTAAAAGCAGACGTGAAATTTTTGAGCTTCTGTCTACGTAAGAGAAAGACCCTGACCCGTTTGCATCCTGCTGAAAGTTAAATGGGCTTGCTAATGTTTCATCCATTAGCGGTATCCCTGTGAACCTTGTTTTAGCCCATGGACCTGTTCTGTAATAAGGCTTGGAGCCTCTCATAGTAACCAGCTGTGATGGCACTTGCGGTGTAACCTGAGCCACAAAGTCACCAGGCGATGGATCAGTGGAGCTTTTCCAAGAAGTCAACACTAGCTTCTCACCGGTGGCTAGATTATACATCAGGGGTGAGAAAGGGAGCAGAGTATCACCAAGATGCTCGAAGCTTTCCCATAGCGTTCTTCTCGAAACATTGTCTATGACAATAAGACTTCCGCTGTCTGAAAGCTCTGCACGAGACCCGTTAGATGCAAAAGTATCTCCACTGGACCAGACAAGACCAGCTTTTCCATCCAATAAGATAAGGCTTCCGTTGGTGCTGATAGTTAGATTTGCCATGGAGTCTGTAACAGGGTTTTCTCTATTGGCCACCCACACAAACACCCGAGGATTGATACCCTTGAACCAGATTCCAACATACTGATTCTGGGAGTTGTTAGGACTGAAGAAGCCCAGCTCATAAACTCCATCAGAGGAGCTGAGAGTTTGTCCTATTGACAAAGGACTCTCTGTCGTTATCCCTGCAAAGCTAGAACTTGTAAAGATAGGAAGAAAGAGCAAAGAAGCAAAGAGCACGATCCTCTTCTTCCCCATATGCTTTTGTCTCTCCAATAACTATATTTCTTCTTCAGATTAGTTTTAGAAGCGAACATATGATTACTAGAACAAGCAAGTCAGGGACTTGTGAGAACTATGTGTCTATGTTCAGGCAACTATAAACAATGTTGACCACAACGCAATTACTCATTACTTAATTCATTATCAACTTAAAACCTTTTTAACAATACAAAAGAAATCAGTATTCACGTAATTACCAAGAAGTTCAGATTTATACCTAATCAATCACGTAGCACTGTCATTTTCATGCCGAGAACAAATGAAAGATAGACACCAAATACTTTGCTTCAATTCGAAAGATGAGAACTTTCACAGTTTGACAAAGAATCCAACATTTGACTTCGTCAACCACACATTGATTGACCTCTGATTTAAATATCTTGTTGTCCCCATGTTCACATTGACCTATGATTTAAATATCTACACTCTGCATCAAACTGAAATATGCATAAGTCAAATAAATCAATAAGACATTTCTAAGTGGTTTCTGAAATACTCACAACACACTTTAAATTAATGATCTACATACCCATTTTCTGATTTTTCCCGTTAAGTCTCTTTCTCTCCGTGCATCTTTTGAAAGTTGAAACCTTAAATCTCGTTCAGGCATTTCATCGAACACTCACAGCGCATAATCTAAACATTCGAAGAGACACCGCACAAAGCTTCGCAAAAACCACCGGACCGATATAACTCATGAAAGTATGCCCGATACTATATGGTGTTAACTGCTTCTGCATGATTCAACAATGGTGTGTCTGTGTCAGTGTCACCACACCAGCGAGAGCATGAACTAAAAGACGCGAGGAAGACGACACACACTATCAGACAAGTCAACTCAAACCATGGGTATGTTCAAAAGTTGGGCTCAGCTGGTTATAAGGCCCATGAAAATCTGTAACAATATAATTAAAGAAGAATAAAACAGAGTATTAGAGGAAGTGTGAAGAATCCGTAGAAGATAAGTTCCAGTCTTTTCTTCTTCTGAGTGCTGATCAATGATCATTTTGTGTTTTTTCTCATCTTCTCTCTTCTTGCTTTGAATAATACCACAAGGAGATAAACCTCCATTAGAGCAAAGCTTGTAAACCATTGAGAAGAGAGTGAAGATAGTGAAGTTTGTCAGTTTGTGACTTAATCAATCCGAAACTCGTAAAAGTCTCTGTAGAGATTCTTGGTCAAGACTAATTTAACAAGGGAGAGAGAACGATGTTGAAAAAAGCAGTTCTATTTCGAATTGTTTTAAAGAAATGAAAAATGGGACCCAAGAGAACAATCTAACACAACGTTTCTTAGCGCCCAAGGATCACAAAATGTTCATAAAATCTATAGACTAAAGTATATACTAAAATCTCTGGCATATATATGGGTGCATTCTAACTTTGGGATAGCTGTTTGGCTTCGATGTCCTTAAGTCTGAGAGTGACTGCTCTCTCGTGTGCATCCAAACCTTCGATCTCAGCCATAGTCGCCACATACGGACCGAGGTTTCTGAGACCTTCCTCTGTTAGAGATTGTACAGTCATAAACTTGAGGAAAGAGTCTAGCGAGACGCCACTGTACATCCTCGCGTATCCGTATGTCGGAAGAACGTGGTTTGTCCCGCTCGCATAATCACCAACACTCTCCGGAGTCCACGGCCCTATGAAAACCGAACCTGCATTCTCGATCAGTCCCTCCCATTTCTCAGCGTCTTTGACGTTTATGATCAAATGTTCCGGTGCATACAGGTTTGAGAAAGATATGGCCTGGAGAATTAAAGAGCGAATGGTGATGCTACACAACTTGGCTTGAGATAATCAACATTAAGTGTGAAGTGTGAACCGTGAAGAGAAGTGTTGTACCTCAATCATATCTCTAGCAAAGACTGTGAAACTGTGACTCAGTGCCTTTGAAGCAAACTCTCCTCTAGGAAGGCTATTGCACTGCTTGGCGATTTCTTCTTCAATGGCTTTGAGATCTATACCGTCACCTACAAGAACAAGAACAACTTGACTATCTGGACCATGCTCGGCCTGCGGAGAAACAAACAAGAAAAGAAGCATACAAGTTAGCAGGTTCGGTAAGAAGTAATCAATCATAAGGGATAAGGCACACAAATGTGAAATTACCTGAGAAAGCAAGTCTGCTGCAATGTAAACTGGACTAGCATGTTCGTCAGCGATGACTAGAACTTCTGAAGGACCAGCAGGCATATCAATCGAAACCATTGCCTCGCTATTCTGCAGTAAGAAATCAAACAAAAATGAGTAAAAATAACAAGTCAAAGAACGAGTAAGGAGCACATATATAACAGAGGAACGATGATCTGTACTTGAAGAATCATCTTAGCAGCTGTAACATACTGGTTCCCAGGACCAAAAATCTTATCAACCTGCCATAGCCCATAGTAACCAAAGTAAATTCATGTGTTGAGAAACTGTATGATGTAAGCGACTGAGGTACATTGATCATTGTTCATACCTTAGGACAAGAATCTGTCCCCCAAGCCATGGCAGCTATAGCCTGCAAAGCGAAAGAAATGGTAACTTCACAATCTTAGAGAAAAAAGCATGAAAAAATATGCCAAGAGACCAAGAAAAACACACCTGCGCTCCACCAGCTTTAAGTATGTGAGTCACACCAGCCCTCTTGGCACAATACAGCACCTCCTGCATCAACAACATCACAAACTCATCAGCTTAGTATCAAGATAGATAAAACAGTGAGTTATATTGAAAGTTCCCAAAAACAAAAAACCAGATTGAGTACTACACCTTGCATATGCTTCCTTCTTTAGTTGGTGGAGTTGCGAGAACAACTGTTTTACATCCAGCAATCTGAGCAGGCTGATAAAGGAAGATAGAGTAAGGAGAAAGTCGACCACATTATTTCCGAGTTAGTGAAAAAAAAGAAGAAGAAGAGGTAAAAGTATTTAGCAGGAGAAGCTTACAATCGCAAGCATTAACGCAGTTGATGGCAAAACAGCTGTTCCACCAGGTACATACAGACCTACAGAACCAATGGGTCTTGACACCCTTTTACATCTAACACCCTAACAAATTTTACAAGTTAAGATCAGTATATAGCAAGTGTGAAGAAAGGCTTTAAGTACGTAACAAAGGTGACTGAATCAGACTTACTTTCATATTCTCAACGCTCTGCTCAGATGACTTTTGTGCCAAGTGAAATGCATATATGTTCTCATACGCAACATCAAACGCTTCTTTTACTTTGGATTCGAGCTGAATACATACAAACAAAAAGGCATTCATACAGAGAAAGGAAACATGACAAGAGGATTCAAAATTTGTGTTAATAATCTACTACCTCGGGAATAGGAAGCTCGGACACATCTTCAATCACTTTATCTAGTTGAACTTTGTCAAATCTTTCAGTGTATCTGAAAGAGAAGCAGTTAAAATGTAATGAAAATGCATATACAGAAGCCGTGTATCGGAAGAATGAAATTAAATGACAAGAGTGAGGCACTTACTCTTTCACAGCTATGTCTCCTTTGCTACGAACCGCGTCGATGATTGGGTTAACCTGATGGTAGAATATGATTGAGCTCTTGTCATGGATAAGAGAAAGTGGTAAAAATTCACAAGCAAGACGAAGAAGAAGAAGAGAAAACTTACAGTGCTGAAGATGGAAGAGAAGTCAATGCGAGGGCGTGACTTCAATTTTTCAACTTGAGAAACATTAAGCTCGGATAATCTGTACGACTTCATCGCGCACCTGTAAAAAAACGCAATTTTGCATTTGGTTGAGCAAAAAAAAACGTAACACTGAAAACTTGAATCTCATGATCCTCGAAATCAAGCTTGAATTTGACAAAACCCCAAATCAATTATCATGAAATTTCGTACCTTTTTACTAGCAGCAATGTGAGTGGAGATCGAGAGACGAGGCGAAGAAGGAAGTGTAAGACGAGATAGGTCGGAAGGACGTTTCACCGGATTTGCTCAAGTCGCCGGCGAAAAGGGAAGAAGGAGATGACGAGTTTGCTATAGGGTTTTAATGACACGTGTCTTATTTTGTGTTGCTCAATTCTCTTTAGATCAAAAGGTAAGCGTTATTGGGCTGATAAAGAGTAAAGCCCAAAACATTTTGACCTGTTACAACAGATTACACTACTACTCATGTCAAAAGTTTGTTTCATTGTTTTTCACGGGGCATTATTATTCAAACTTCCAAGACAATCCATTGAAAACATGACTACTTCAACAAACACACATCAATTCTAAAATTTCCATCACATATTGTTTCTTAACGCCCAAGTATCACAGATTGGGTAATCTCATTGACACTTATCAAATCCCTTAAATGGGATTGGTCATCTCTCGTGTTCAATGCAAATGAAGGTTGTTTTGGTGGTGGAAGATCTGATGTTGTGGTGAGCATAGACAGCAACTCAAGTGTGTTGGGTCTGTCTGCAGGTTGGTGTTGAACACAAAGCAGACCAATCTGAACACATCTCTCTACTTCAAATGGGCGACATGAATCAGCAACATCTTGGTCTAAAAGATCAATTACTCCATTTTCAGACCAAGATTCCCATGCCTGTTGTAGATTCAAAACAAACGAATATAAGAGCAAGAAACGCATTCTTAAACAGACAATGGAATCTCTGAACTTGATTCTAGTGTATCAAATACCTAAATTCTTAAACTTACATATGCAAGAAGGTTTTGTCCTTCTTCGCCATGGATGAACCTTGAGATCTTCTCTCCACTGATGATTTCTAACAGCATAACTCCGAAGCTGTAGATGTCTGATTTCTCAGAGAACATCCCTGTCCATGCATACTCAGGAGACATGTATCCCCTGTGAAAACATCGAACAGTTTGTCCCCAAGTTACTATCTGATTATAATGTTGAATCCTAGCTAATCATGTCACTGAAAACAGATTCTTACAGAGTTCCTGCAACCCTGCGAGTCTTGTCCTGATATTCAGTTCCCTGGTACATCCGAGCCAATCCAAAATCTGATATTTTCGGCTCCATTTTCTCATCAAGAAGAATATTGCTGACCTTGAGATCTCTATGGATAACCCTGAGGCGTGAGTCATGGTGAAGATAGAGAAGTCCACGCACAATAGCTTGAATGATATCAAATCTCTTTGGCCAATCAATCTGGAGCCTCTTTCTTGAATCTAAGCAATAATAAAGACTATCAAACAAACAGCTCCACGTTGATAAAAAAAAGCTAATGATATTCAAGGAAGGATGCAAGAAGGGACCAACCAAAGAGAAAGGTATCAAGGCTTTTGTTAACCATAAACTCATAAATCAAAAGCCTCTCTTCTCCTTCAATGCAACATCCCAAAAGCCGGACTAAGTTTCTGTGTTGGAGTTTTGAGATGAGTACTATTTCATTCATGAACTCCTCTTTGCCCTGTCCCGAGCTGCTAGAAAGACGTTTAACAGCAATTTCTTTCCCATCTTGCAGTTTTCCCTGAAAGCGATTTGCAGAAGGTCAATCTCAAGAGCATAAACAGAGAATGGAAAAGAGAAAAGTGGAATAAAATCTCTTCTTACCTTGTAAACTGAACCAAATCCACCTTGTCCGAGTTTGTTTGATGGACTAAAATTATTAGTGGCAATTCGAATGGTATGAATCTCAAAGAAATCTAGACCTGAGACATCTTCTGGTTTCAAATCATTCCTCCATGCATCACTTGTCATATGAGCTGGTCAAGTGAGTCAATTTAGCGTAGGCTTGACATAGTAACAAATGATCATTTGTAACAAATAAAGAAGAGCGTATGATTGTTTTGTTGGCAAGCAGATGAATAAATGAACAACGAGAGATCAATAGATAGTAAAGTCATCAACGTGTTACCGTTATGTTCCACTCTGCATCTCCAGAAACCAAACGCGGCAAAGCTCAAGATCACAAAAAGTGTAAGACTCACTGTACTAGCAAGAATGTTCTTCTTGCGGTTATTGCCATCTGAGGAATGTGTGAAAACAAGTTAAACAACAAGTCATGGAGTTTTATCTATTAATGGAGTTTAAGATAACGATGTAAATGACGAAGTATCTCTTTCAATACCTAGTTCAGAATTTGCGAGCCGAACGAAAAGAAGTTCTCCTCCATAAGAATACTGCACAGTGTCCATCAGCTCCCGGTTCCACACTAAGCAGCCTATTCCATGAATATAAGCAAAGGCCAAGCAAGAACAGTTGTGGAGGCAACTTTGGCGGCAATCTTCAGCATTCACAGATCTTGCGAATTCGTAAAAATCTGGAGGCTTTATGTTGGCAACTTGATGGAATACGTTTGCATTCTCACAAGTGGAACGTCCCTGACAATGTAGTTCCGTACGCCTCACGCAACCATCAGTCCAGTTTCCTCTTTTCCACTCCTCAATGTATTTTGGTACAAACCCTTTTAAGCATTTACACCTCAGAGGAACTGACATAACACACAGCCCAAAAGCTCCACATACACCGTAAACATCGCATGAATTGGCTACTGGAGCCTCATAGTAAAACACCCAGTTCATACCATTATGCCGAAAGATCTTCATTGATCCCTCTGATGTCAAAACTATACGTGAAAGTTTGTAGCTTCTTTCGAAATAAGACAAGTACCTTGACCCGTTTGCGTCCTGGTGAAAGCTGTATGGACCTGTGTATGTTTCATCCATTACCGGTACTCCGCTGAACCGTGTCTTAGCCCATGGACCACTTCTCCAGTAAGGCGTCGAGCCTCTCATAATGAAGGCCTGTGATGGCTCTTGCGGCGTAATCTGACCCACAAAGTCGCCAGGCGATGGATCAGTGTCGCTTTTCCAAGATCTCAGCACCCGCTTCTCACCGGTGGCGAGGTTATACATCAGAGACGTGGAATGAAGCAGAGTATCACAAAGATGGTCAAAGCTTCGCCATAGAGGAGTTGTTCCCGAGACATCGTCCACGACAACAAAATCTCCGCTGTCTAAAAGCTCTGCATGACACTGGCTAGAGGGGAAAGTTTCTCCACTGGACCACACGACGCCGTTCTCACCGTTAAGTAAGCGGAGGTTCCCATTGCTGCTGATGGCTAGAGTTGCCGTGGAGTGTGTAACGGGGTTTTCTCTATTCGCCACCCACACAACGACCCTAGGGATGGTATCTTTGAACCAGATTCCAAGATACTGATCATGTGTGTTGTTCGGACTGAAGAACCCCAGTTCATAAACTCTATTAGCAGAGCTTAGAGTTTGTCCGATTGACAAAGGACTTGTTGGCGTTATAGCTGCATAGCTTAAACTTGAGACCATGGTAAACAAAAGCAAAGAAGCAAAGAAAAATCTCGTTATTCCCATGTTCGTTCTTGTGTCTATCTCCAAGAACAATCTGCTTCAGTTTAGTTTAAGAAGGAAACATGTAGGCCAAGAAAAACAACCATCTTCCAAGATTCTCCATTACTTTATTCACAATCAACTTAAAACTTTGTTTTATATTTACATATTAAAAATGTAATACTTGTGTTTACCAGTTGGACCCAAAGGATTAAATCTTAAAAGTCAAACCTTTTACCCGATTAACCATTCAATGGCTGAGCTCATATTGAAACATTTGTGTCATTTTCATGTCCTTGTTAACTCGCTAAGCTCAGAAAAAGTAGCAAATAGTTATCAAACACTGTCAACCAATCAAAAGATGAGAATTGTACAACTTACCTTTCATAGTCTGAACCAAGAACTTCAACCTTTTACCTAATCAACCACGCACATTTGACTTCAGATGGAAAAAAAAATTGAAGATGAAGATGCCTCAGATCATTGATGACATGAAGAAAACTGAATATGAAGCCACTAATGAGAAATACATTCTTAATACATATCCTTTTTCTGATTTGCACGGTAACAATAACGCAGCTTTTTGAAGCCTTAAATCTTTCTCAGACATTTCATCGAACACTTAGAGCGCGTAATCAAAAATGTTCGAAGGCAGTACTGTTCAAAGCTTCTCCCAAGCCACCCGACCGATACTATGCATGAAAGTATGTCTGATACTATTGGACATATGGTTTTCTCTAATTTATTTATTTAAAATTATAGACTAGCAAAGTGAACTAGTTAAAAATATACAATGTGTATTCAGATTTAAAAGTTAAAACATATAAATATATAACTTAAGATAATAAACAAATAAATATATTATTCATTTATATTATAAAAATAATTTTATAATATTAAAAATATATACACAATTTAGAAAAATATCTCGCAGTATAACGCGGATAAATACCTAGATGATCCCACTAGGAATATTTTGAACTGGTGATGCTGCTATCTGATGTTGGGGCTCATACTCGGTTGCACACATACTTTTCTGAAGTGCTTCATGTGAAGGTGTAAAGCTGTGGTGTTGTTGAATGGGAAGACCAAGCTGGTTGTATAATGGAACACTCTCCCTTGCACTTGAGGACTGGAGGCATTGTAGCTGTCATAGCTTGTATCTTGTATCCTTGTAAGGCTTATGCTGCACATCTTGTTGTTGCTGCATATAGTATGCTTCAGCTTCTAAGTTGTAAGCATGACTAATTGCTGACTTCTTCTCTTTAACCTTTGGTGATGGATGTAGAGATTTCTCAAACAACAAATCTAGCTTAGAACTGATTGCTATCACATCCTTCTGTGTTTGGAGAAAAAAAGCGTCATTACTCCTCTTGTAGGTATCCTCATACTCATCTGCGTAGTTGTCATTGCTCATTGCAAGGTTTTCAATCAGCTGCAAACCATTTTCAACACTTGTACCCAAGAAGTGGTCGTTACTGGCTGTGTCTAATAGCACTTTGAACCTTGGTGACACTCCTCTATAAAATGTGCTGAGCAGTGACTCTGTTGAGAAACCATGATGAGGGTACTGCAAGATGTAGCCTTGAAATCTTTCCCATGTTGTACAGAATGGCTCATCTGGCAATTGCTTGAAACCTGATATGTTCTGCCTTAGTGTAGCTGTCCTGGTATAAGAGTAAAACTTTACAAGAAACACTCTTTTGCAATAATCCCAAGAACAAATTGATCCACAAGACAAAGATATTTCCCACAAATGTGCACGATCACCAAGAGAGAAGGGAAATAATCTCAGTTTAAAACCATCTTCTGTGACACCACTGATCCTTTGTAAACTACATATACTCTCAAAGCTGTCCAAGTGATCAAGCGGATCCTTTATAGATGTGCCATTGAAGCGGTTGGCTTGTACCATTGCAATCACACTGCTTTTGATCTCAAAGTGATGCTTTTGAGATGGTGGAGGAAGTATACCTCTCCGTCTAGTATGAAGGTAAGGAGCATCATGAGAATCAATGTGTTGTGCTCTTCTAGCAATCTGAGGCACTGGCCTATGTAACCTCTGAACTGGAGCTTTATCCTCTCTGAATTGAGCTTGATGAGCATGTTCAAAGTGGTTTGGATTAGCCATGGTACCTGAGAAAACAGAGCAAGAAAGGTAAAGTGATTAGTACATTAAAAAGTTGTTAAGTCTAAGCAAGAACCTAAACTCAATTATCTAAGCAATCCTAGAATGGCAACGGCGCAAAATTGAAGAAGGACTTTTGCAAGTCTTAACTTAATCCCTCTCTAATCAGATGTATGATGAAGACATGCAAGGCACTAACTAAGCTTAACCATGTATGATGAAGAAGGATGATTCTAACAACATAAGCGATTAAAGATGAAGTGCACAAGTGAAATCCAATCCTATTAAGACTAAAGCAAGTAGTGCAATGCAAAGAATCTAAATTCAACAGAAACTAACAAGGAAATGAAATAGATGCAGGAGGACTAAAGTAAGCAAAGCAATAGAAGTGCAAAAACCAAAATGGAAGCTAAATGTAATAACTTGAAATGCAAGGTAAGTAATAAAGCAAGAACAATGCAAATCAAAACAGAGGAAAAACATAACACAAAATGATCAAATGCAAAGAACAATCAGGCGCAGTTTCAAGGCTAGAGAAATGATGACATGGGGATTACTTAGTATCAAACCTAGGGCAGTCAAGACCAATAACAAGCAAAGAACATGATCAAGACACTAAATCAATCAATCTGCAAACAGAACAGAGATGTCTAAGTTAAGCACATGTTAGACCCACTTGTGATGGCGTATTTGTGCAAAACCAGCATGTAAACACAAGACTCTTAAAGACCAAACAAATAATCTAAACGCAATATAATCATCTAGGAGTTTGTTCCTAGCAAAGTTCTTTCAGGAATTTAAACAAACACTTTTGATGCAGCAAACACTTAAGATCAGTTTCACCCTAAAAGAGTTACTAAGCACTAAGAACAACTAAGCTAAGTGATCTAAGCATGAATCAAACCAAAACTCCCTAAGTTATCAACCAATCATCCTCAAATCTGCTCTAACCTCAAACAATATGAAACTACTCACAACACATCATGAAATCAACATAAACTAGCAGAAAGGACAGATCAAACGTGATTAAACATAAACTAGAAGGAAAATAACAAAGAAAGTGCAAAACTTTATTAAAAGAGTGATTTTGATCAATATCTCATCAAATCCCCCTTTTGGGTTTCCCCTCAGGTCGAAAATAAGATAAAGAAGAAGGTGAGTGCTAGAAAAGATAAGGTTTAGCTTAAATAAGCCAAAAAGATAAGGTTTGACAAAAAGTATAAAAAGGCTTGGTCAACTCTCGGCGTTGACGCATCGGGGTGCATGGATGGGTGTTCTGCTCGATGTATGCTCGATGTAGAATAGCTCACGTCGCGGTTCGATTACTCACTGGTTACTTCGGCACAGAGCAAGTCTCGGGTCGTATCGGGCGAGTGGTCAGGTGTTCAGCTTGATGCTGGACCTCGATATGCCATATTTCTTTGTATCGGCTTGTATGGCATGCTTAGCTCGGTGCACTACTCCGGTGCAGTCTCGGAGTCCTTGGTCAAATTCTTCTTTATCGTCCCACGCTCCGCATCGGGCAAGTTTCAAGGGTGTTTTGCTTGATGCTGGACCTCGATATGGACACAGAATTTGCAAAACTCCTCCTTTGGCACCTCCTTTGAATGGGAGCTGTTTCTATCTCCTCTCCAAGTTGTAAAAATCTCCATAAACACCTAAAAACATCACAAACATGCAAATATATGCATATGCGTGCAATCCTAGACTAAATACATGCAATGTTAATTGTAAGTGCAAATGAGACTAAAATACTAAACTATAATGCAAAAACAAGGGAAAAATGCATGAAATGCAGTATAAAATACTCTAATATAGCAAACTATCAACAGATCAAAAATCTAGTTTATATTTAAAAACTAGGTAATCGGCCTGCACCGTGTGCAGGCTAAAAAATATTTTATATGTTTAATTATGATTAATATAGTATTAAAGATGTTTTATTTGTATATAATTAATTATGTATTAATAATAAAGTAATAATCTTTTAATAATAAAAAATAACAATAAATTAAATATAATTATTATATTTCAATAGAAAATGAAGATTAAAAATATTAACTAAGATTTTAAAATATTTTTTTGGATAAAAAATGTAACTATGATAACTAAATAAAAGGGAAAAAATTAAAACATATAATAATTTATTTAATTTTTATTTTTGATCCGCACTCATGTGCAAGTATAATTGTTTTTATAGACATAATTAGATGTAATATTTAAGTATTGACTAATTTTCTTATACATTATGTAAATATTATATTTTTATACATATAGAATTTAGTGTTCAACAAAAATCACACAAATGTTTCATATTATTTTGTGTCTTTTGAAAATATTTTATTTTTCCTAGCGTTTTTAGTAACATATAATTACAAATAAAAAGTTATATTAAATAATAATTAAATTGTTACAATATGTTTTAAATATTATTTATATAATACTTTTTTTTCTCTATACATAATATAATCTTGCCAATATATATATTTTAAGTATACATTTTTCCTTGACCTATTGCTAATTAAACCAAAATAAATTCTACCATATTTATTTATCCTAAAAGCGGGTAGATGGTTGGTCTGCACATTCGTGCGTACCAATCACCTCACCGCTTTTAAGACATATAATTTTTTTTTTAAATATATATATATATATATATTGTCTAACAACTAAAAATAAAATTATAGTGTAATCAATGTTAAAAAAATGTATGCACGACAAGTTTGCATTCGAGTTTGATTTTTGCACAATATTTATATCTACACGTATATTTGTAAGAAAATTGAAGCATGAATTTTATGTGTTAAAAAGAAAATAACAAAGTATATGTTTTGTAATGTATGATTGATTTGTTTTTTAAATAATAAGTATATTTATGCATGTATGTATGAATTGGAAATAAGTGAATTTTAATATTTATGTGTTTGTAAGTTTTTTCTGGTATTTCTGCAAACGTTATATTTTTACACGATGCATTTATTGGCGTTTAACAATAATCATGAAAACTGTATCTATCGTTTTGTATTTAATCAAAATTTCTTATTTTTCAGTGTTTAATGATATGTGGTTTCTCAATAAAAATTTATAAAAAAATTTATAAAATTTGTGAAATTATATTTTATAGAATTCTCCTGTAGCTCTCCGCTCATCTCTTCGTCAAATTTTTTATAATCCACAATCGCTCGCTTCCACAAACTCTATGTAACTGAATCTTTTAAACCAATCAGAACTAAATTTATATGTGTATGATTTAAGGCCTAAAATAATATATTTAATATTTGATTGTTATTAAAAATTAAGAATTGATCTGTACCTAACTTTAATATACTTGATAACATAAAATATAATGTATCACAACATATCCAAAACTTGATTTAGAAAATAATGTTTTAATATGTTAGAAAACAATATATGCATGAAAGAATCGATATCTATAAGATAATATTTTTAAATATTTCAAATAAAAACTGGAAATCGATAAAAATTATTTTTATTTATTTTTTTGTCTTCTTTGACTCATATTTGTTTTTCTTAATATTTAATAATATACTAAATATTAAGATCATCTCCAATGTAGTTTCCCTTTTTTCCTCTAATATAACTGGACTTCTCTCCAACATATTTCTATTTTACAGGAAAAAAAGTTGTTATTTTTTTCTCTATAATTGTAGGAAAAAATAAAAACCTTTCTTTTTTCTCTAAATTAGAAGATTTAAAATAAAAGTGGGTTGAAGATGTTTTAAACCAAAAATATAGCATGAGATTTTTACATAAAACCAAAGTCGTAAAGAGTCATTTTTACTTTTACTTCTACTTTTTATTCATATATACAATATTATAATAAAAAAGTTCGCTAAAAAGATACTTTTAATTTATTATTCTATCTGTTTATTTTTTATTTTATTTATAATTTCGAATTCATTTGTATATGATATAAACATTTCTTATTTAAAAATAAGATTTATTTAGTTTTAACTTAACCAATCAAAACATTTCATTTATTTTAAGAAATTTGTCATGTCACATTTATAAGGTGGATTGTTTTGCACTAACTTTTGCTATGGTGATTACACATCAGATTTTTTTATTAAACATGCTTCTCAAATTATAGTTAAGATACAGTATTAATATTCAAGGTGTTATATTTACTTAACGAATTATGTTTACTTGTATTGTAAGTACACGTTACATAATAACTGACACACATAAAATATAAATCAGAAAAAAGGTTCTCTTCTCTCACACATTAATCTGAAAATTAACATTTATGGTACAAAATTTATTTTGACATTTTACAAAAATATATTGTCTTTTTGTTTTTAAAACGCCCTTCCTAAACGCAATGGAGGTCACAAGCTTAGGCCATTCGTGTTTTTGATCGCTAGTTCACCCGTCCAAGTAATTTTTAGAGTAATTTTTTTCCTTTCTTATTTTGAATATCTTCTTCCCAAGTAAAAAATGAAGGTGCAACCCAAAAAAATTGCACCCTATTTCAGTTCATTTTGCATCTGGTATTTTTGTTCTCAACTTCTAATCTAATGAGGTTACGACCACATGAATTAGGTTAATAGTAAATATCTTCCAGATCTTAAAACATTACAAACCAGAAAAGGTACACTAGACTCGAATCAGAAATACCTTGACTGTGAGCAAGAAGAGTTAATAAGCAAAAGAGAGGTCGAGAAAGAGAATTTTGAAGCTTCGAGATCAAACTCGACTAAATTATCTTCCATCTGAAAACCTCCAATCACCATCGCCATCTTCATATCCATACCTCCGTCCACAAAACCTAAACAAACCACATTTTTGCTCACTTTTACAAGCGAATTCGACCCATAAATTCTCCACTTAGCCCCACCATTCAGCACTAAATCGATCACCGGAACACGACTTCCCATCATCCACTTTCCAAGTCCTTTGGAGCTGAAACACGATCCAAAAGGCTTCACTGCTGGAGCTTTAGCCATCTTGGCTTTTCCAGCAAAGGCTAAGACCAGAGCCTTGTAAATGGAGCTGTGCAAGATCGTGTAAGGAGCCAAGGTGCAGATCTTGGTGCTTTTCTTGACGAAAGGAATAGTCTTTTCACTAATTTGGATGGACTTCACACCGATGAAGTACTCACCACGAGATGGGTCACTAGGGAGCAGAGGCGTGGAGACAAAGATCTTAGAGACATCTTCAGGATAAAGCGCCATGAAATAAGGACCACCACCAATGAAAAGAGCTCCAGATCCAAAAGGGTCTCCGGAGTTTGGTGAAGGCAAACAAAGAGCCACCTTTGAGGGTAGTTTGTAAAAAGAAACGGCCTGCAAAGGAAGGGCCATAAAGGTCTTAGCGAGACCCAATGTCCCAACAACAATCGATGGGAAGGATTTGAACAAGGGGTCAACATTAACATCGGTGCAAGCTATAGTCATCTGCAAATCGATTTCACCACCCATCACGGTGAAGCCGTTGTCCGTGTAAACCAAAGAGACAGTGTCTCGGAGGAGACGAGTCTTGATGGGATGCTCAGTGAAAGAAGTGGAAAACGATTTTTGACATGTGGCTTTCTTTGAGGTATTGGTGGGACAGGAGAAAGAATCCGGTTTGGCTTGTTTGCATCTAGAGGAGCCACATTTGATTGGGTGGTAAGAACGGATTTAGCTGCCGCAGCACAGGTTAGCAACAACGGTGTAGAGCCGCCGAGGTCAATGGCAAGATTGATGTTGTAGGATTGATAGTATGTCCCGTTGAGCATGTTGACACCGATCGATAAAGGAGAGTAGTAGAGATTTGTGGCCTTGTCTTTATGAATAGGTTGTAAAAAAGCTTGAGGCTTCTCGTGTACCGAGTGTGATGTGTTTGCGAAGGTGAAAAACACTACGCAGAGGAAATGGATTATACGAGCCATTTTTTTCTTTCTGTTGTGGCTTTTAGAGTGACAATTAGTAAGAATATAGTGAATGCTACGCCTATATGTGTATGTAGTTAGCTCTTCGTTCTTATTTAAAGATTTTTTTATAAAATATTTCTTTCATTCACATATCGATGTGACCGACACAAATGAAACAGAAAAATAAATTTTCGTCAAACACAAGAAGTATCTTATCCACGAGACCCAAGTTTCAAGGTCTGAATAAATTCAAGTCGGGATGAATCAACTATACTAGTATTATTTATCTTTACCGTCTTTTAAAATCTAGTTGATTATGTATTTGTTAATTAATTTTTGTTCAATTCATTTTCTAAAATTGATAATATTAATTTGCTTAAAAATAGATAAATATAATTTTATAATTATATAGTTTGCTATTTTTTAAGAAGGCAATTGTACAGTCTTCATTTTTGACGGGATATGGTGGAGACACTAAAAGCATGAGTAATAGAGAACTGGACAAAAAATTCTTAAAATTTTTTTATTTTTAAATTTTTTTTTTTAAAAAGTTGATTTAAAAAAAAAAAATTATTGACGAACCACGTCTTGACACGTCAGTGCAGAATCGTTTCTTCAGTCGCTGTGCAGAGAGGTGCTTTTCAGCGCTGGTCTCGCCATGTCACTAAAAAAATTCTTTTTTATTTATTTTTTTCCCTTAGAGCTTTTCAAAAGCTCTCTATTACTCATGCCCTAATACATACAATAAAACTTCTATAAATTAATAATGTTGGGATTTCAAAAATTTATTAATTTATAAAGTTATTAATTTATAGAGAGATATTTTAGTTCAATTTCAAAATATTTATCAAAAAACAAAAATATGTTTTCAACAATATAAATTCATTGAGAAAATATCATATTAGTAAATTTAAAAAATAAGTCAAACAATTTTTATAAACATAAAAAAAATTAATATAATTATATTTTACTAGATTATATTATTTATATATCCTTAAATGTATAATTATTAATTTATCTAATTATTGGGACTATATTTTTACATAGAAGTTTCAAAAAAAATATTATCTTATTATCTTATCGAAATTTGCTAATTTTTACACTAGTTCGACTTGGAACCGGCAAAAATTATTAATTTATAGTGATTATTAATTTATCGAGTATTAATTTATAGAGGTTCTACTGTATCAATATTATTAAAAGAGAATCTTATTTTTAAATTAACCCTTAATTAATATGTTATTTACAATATATGTCATTAAATTTTTATAGATTCGTTAAAGGTAATTTAATCTTATCATTAAACTGTTAATAAATTATATTAGTTTGTTAACAGATAATACCAATAAATCATAATACTAATAAAATTCAAATTAATTTACTTTTAAATTAATTTAAAATCTTTCATAATATCTTAACATAACTACCACATAATGACATAAATAACTAATATAATTATATATATTATATAATAAATTAAATATATATTATATTATAATCAGTTTCTTCTCAATAGTATTAAAAAGAAAACACTACATTAAAAATTTTAAAAATTATTATGGTATTTACTAAATGTGACAATTTATAGTTAATGATGAATATATAATCATTATTTTCTGGTTACATATATACATATTATAAAAAAAAATTATGTAAATAATTTAGTTTTTCTGGTTTGTTAATGATTTTTTGCAGGAAATTATGGGTTTGCAGATTTGATAAACATAATTTTGTAGATTTTACGGGTTTTATAAATTTTAGCGGGTTTTATAAATTTTAGCAGAAAATATAGTTTTCCGAGAAAATGCCGGTTTGACAACATATGTGCTTTTGTAGATTTAGCAGAAACACATAATTTTTGAAATTTGGTCGTAAATCATGATTTTGCAGATTTTACGGGACTATGGGAAAATACGGGTTTGTAAAATGCGAATAAAACAATTTTGCAGATTTTATGGGTTTTACCGGTTTTAACGAGGAAATGGAGGTTTGTGAGTTTGACAGAAACACATGAGTTTAGAAATTTGGTCGTAAAACATAATTTTATGGATTTTATAAAATTATGGAAAAAGACGGGTTTTTGTGGATTTGGCGGGAAATGTGATTTTGCAGATTTTACGAGGTTTACATGTTTTTGCAGGTTTTATAGATTTTGATGGAAAATGTGGTTTTGTGAATTTTATTGAAAATGCAGGTTTGCGAGTTTGACGACAAAATGCAATTTTGCAAGTTTGACAAAAACTACTTAATTTTGGAAATTTAGCCATAGAATACGATTTTATGATGTTGGGAGAAAGCATAATTTTTGGTTTTGTTAAAAAATGTGGGTTTACAATTTTGGCAGGAAAATACGGTTTAATGGAAAATGCTGTTTTTACAGTTTCTACCAGAATTTTTGGTTTTGGTATAACAACGTAATTTTACGATTTTGCGGGAAAATACGACTTTTTATTTTGATAGAAAAAAATAGTTTTGACAAAAAAAAAAACCTTGATTTTGTTATTTAAATTAAATGATATTTTTATCTGTTAATTTTTGAGATTCAAATGTTGCATCAAATTTCTATTTTTTAGCATTTTAAATATCCAAATTTTGAGATATTATAAAATTTGTATTCAGATAAAATATTCATATACTGATTTAAAATGATTTAAAAGATTAATATTTGAGAGCATTTTGCGTCCAAATAAGTATCTAGAGGCAAAAACAAACAAAGCCTAAGAATCTTAATTACAAACAAATAAAATCTCTTTTGCGTTATAAAACATAATATTTTAAAATATTTGTTACAAAACTTAACAAAAAAAACCACTAATCAAATTTTTTTTTAATAAAATCAAGCCTAAATAATTTTAAGAAAATAAAACCATAATGTTAAAATAGTTTATATAATCTAATACAAATTTTCGGTTTCTACCATAATTTTAGATTTAATAATATAAGCAAAAGTTTACTATAAACCGATTTTTGCTATGACCTAAAAATATTTTATAAAAAAAAACCCGCGCAAGTGGCTGTTTACTATTATAAGAGAATCATATTTTTAAGTTAACCTTTAGTTAATGTGTTATTTACAATATATGCCATTAAATTTCTTTAGATTCATTAAGGGTAATTTAATCTTATTATTAAACTGTTAACAAATATATTAAATTAAATTAAATTATATTAGTTTGTTAACAGATAATACTAATAAATCATATCAGATAATACCAATAAATTATATATGATACTAATAAAATTCAAATTAATTTACTTTTAAAATTATTTTAAATTCTTTTATGATATCTTAACATAACAACCACATATACATGGCATGAATAACTAAAATAATTATATATATATTATATGATACATTAAATATATATTATATTATAATCAATTTCTTCTCAATAGTATTAAAAGAAAATCATTACATTAAAAATTTTAAAAATTATTATGTTATTTACAAAAATGTGACAATTTATAGTCAATAATGAATATATAATCAACATTTTTTGGTTACATATATACATTTTATGAAAAAAAAATTTGTGTAAATAATTTAGGTTTTCTTGTTAGTTAATGATTTTTTGCTGGAAACTATGGGTTTGCGGATTTGACAAACTCAATTTTATAGATTTTACGGGTTTCATAAATTTTAGCGGGTTTTATAAATTTTAGTGGAAAGATAGTTTTCCGAGAAAATACCGGTTTGACAACAAATGTGCTTTTTTAGATTTAGCAGAAACACATAATTTTTGAAATTTAGTCGTAAATCATAATATTGCAAATTTTACGGGTTTATGAGAAAATACAGGTTTGTGAATGCGAATAAAGCAATTTTGCAGATTTTATGGGTTTTACAGGTTTTAGCGAGAAAGTGTTGTCATACAGAAAAATGCGGGTTTGTGAGTTTGGCAGAAACACATGAGTTTAGAAATTTGGTCGTAAACACACAATTTTATGGATTTTACAATATTACGGAAAAACACGGATTTTTGTGGATTTGGCGGAAAACGTGATTTTGCGGATATTACGAGGTTTACATGTCTTTGCGGGTTTTATAGGTTTTGATGGAAAGTGTGGTTTTATAGATTTTATTGAAAATGCAGGTTTGCGGGTTTGACACAAAATGCAATTTTGCAGGTTTGACAAAAACTACTTAATTTTAGAAATTTAGCCATAGAATACGATTTTATTGTGTTGGGGGATAACATATTTTTTTGGTTTTGTTAAAAAATGTGGGTTTACAGTTTTGGCAAGAAAACACGGTAGGATGGAAAATGCTATTTTTAGAGTTTCTAGCGGAATTTTCCGTTTTGGTACAACAATGTGATTTTACGATTTTGCGGGAAAATGCGGCTTTTTATTTCGACAGAAAAAATGGTTTTGACAAAAAAACTTGATTTTGTGGTTTAATTAAGATGTTTTATTTGTGAATTTTTGAGATTCAAATGCTGCATCAAATCTCTATTTTTTAGCATTTTAAATATCCAAATATTAAAGTATTATAGAATTTGTATTCAAATAAAATATCGATATTGATTTAAAAATATTTAAAAGAACAATATTTGAGAGCATTTGCATCCAAAAAAGTATTTGGAGGCAAAAACAAACAAAGCCTAAGTATCTTCATTACAAACAAATAAAACCTCTCTTGCATTATAAAACATAATATATTAAAATATTTGGTACAAAACTTTACAAAAAAATCTGCTAATCAAAAATTTTTTTTTACAAAATCAAGCCTAAATAATTTTAAGAACATAAAACCATAATGTTAAAATAGTTTATATAATCTAATAAAAAATTTCCGTTTGGACCACTATTTTAGATTTAATAATATAAGCTATTTTTTGAATAAAAGTTTACTATAAGCTATGACCCAAAAATATTTTATAAAAAAAAACTCGCGCAAGTGCGCGGATCCAAAATCTAGTTAAAAGTTAAAATTATAAACAGCAATATGATAGTTACTAATAGTATTTGAGTGAATAAAAGAAGAAAAAGTAATATATATATATATAATATAACAT